CTAATTCAAACACATTTATCCTACCATTCTTTCCAGGTTTTGAAATAGTTCTGGAAGTCCTTTTTATGTGAGTGGCTTTTTAAGGTATGACCAAAAACGCAGTGAATGCTGCTGCTGATTATCATTCAACAGAAAGGCAGGCTCATAAAAACATGTCCTCATCTGCTTTATTTACCTGATCAGTCACTGTGCAACTTCTGGGTCTTCCCCAAAGTCAAAATGACTATAAAGGTAAACACAATGAATCAATTCAAGCAGTCACTGCAGTACAACTAAAGACACAAAAGAAAATTTTGGAAACTGCTTCAGAAAGTGGCAAAGATGATGGGATAAATGTATTTAAAGGAAGGGAAATTGCATATGTTGCAGAAGTTAATGGTAATGACTCTTTTACTTTATTAATTTTTTAAAATGTTAACATTCACTGTATTTTTAATCACACTTTGTATATCTTTTAGGAAAGTTTTAATATGTACTTTCTGAAATAGTAATTTATCATGTTTGATATATGTTTATTATATAACTATTTCCTCTCTCTTCATCTTGTGTGATTTCTTTAATTAGATTTAATAGTGCTACCTTGGGTTTCTTGTGCTCAAATGTCTTTAAATTCTAAGTCCTCTGTAGTACAATATGAAATTTATTTCTTCTAACAATCACAGATAGCATTTCATGCTTATTTAAGTGAACAAATTCTAATGTGTAAGTCATAATTTGATTTTGAGTGCCCTAAAGAGCCTTAGTCACATAAATTCAAGTAAGTGGAAATTAGTCTTGCATTTGTAAATTATTCAGACTGCCATATCAAAATAGAGATGAGATTTCAGCCAACCTTGAAAAAAGTTTCCCAGAACTTCAAAAAGTTTTTAATAATCTTCCCAATGCCTGCCAATGTTAGAAAAATAAAATCAGAGCTTCATCTTCAATTAACTATTACTTAAGGGTTCATTTGAACAGACATTAGTATTATAAATATAAACTATAAATGCCCAAGCTTAATATGAAGAAGAGAGTGTGAGAAATTCTGCTAACATTGTAAAAGGTTGTTTTAGTCTGGGTATTTGTAAGAAAGTTTTGAGGACCATGTGTATTTTCAGAATACATTTTATTCATAGTGATGCTCTACAGCCTAATATCAGACATACAGTAAACATTTCACAAATATTTTTAAGTGAATCAGAACTTGTTTTCCAGCTACAAGCTATATGACTAGTGTTGGGTATTGAATCTTTGTCTTTAAAATCAGATTGATTCAATAAAATAACAGCCACCCATGCATAGTAGAATGCAGCATGTACCTTTGCCACTGTAGTTTGACGTATAAGAAGATTATGCACAGTGTACTCAGATGAATATAACAAACACCAGTCCAGCCTATCTTATGTATATGTTTACCATAGCAACCTTCCATAGCTAGAACTGCTAAGCTTGATACATTATAAATAGTTGGGTTATAAATGAAAAAAAAAATTAATTCAGGGAGTTTAGCAGAAAAGCAAACTGAACAAATAAAAGGATAATTAGAAAGCAAAGAAAAGAATCAGTTTGACCCCTGGATAAATATCTATTTAAAATTACCTCTTATTTCCCAGATTTTCAATGTACTGCTGTATCTGTTCCACTGCATTTTTCTTTTAACTATTCACAGTACCTTTACTGAACCATAATTCAAGATTATAATCCTGACATTTTATTTGTGATATCAAACTATTAGAGAAGTGCAAGATTCAACAACTGAATTTTAAATCTCATTTAGTTTTACTTGAATATATGTTAAGAAAGTCAAGAGCTAAGACCACACAAGAATTCCTTAATTTAGACAAGTTTCTGCTAAACTCTTCAGAACCTCCTTCTGTGAAAACACAAAAGCTCTACAACTCCTCTAGTGTCATGTAGTCTTTCCCAAAGGATGTCACTTTTACTAGAATGGATGTTAAGGGCAAATTTAACAAGGTAAAAACTTTCCCAAGTACCCTTAAGATTTTGTGGGTGATTCCAAGACTACCGGCATTCTAAAAACATATTTATATATTTATTTTATTAACTGTTTACTTTAAAGGGGATTTAAGGCAGTAACAATGAAAAGCTCAGTGCAAGTAAGCCATAACACTTGATAAGCGAGAAATAGGAGAAAAGAATTCAGAGATATGCAATAAAAAGGATTCTTAAACTGAAGATACATGGCACAAAGTTTAAATGTTTTCATTTAAACTTTGCTAATGCTAAAGTAATAGAACACAAAAATGAATGGAAATTTTCATATGAGACACAAAAAAAAAACCACAGAAAATTGGATGTATATCAATTTCCAACAAAAACAAACACACCACCTCTGCAAAAACAATACTGTATGTGTAGCAAAAAACAGAAAGTCAGAGATAAATTGCCTATTAATTTATCTACTAAGTTGAGCTAATTTACATACAATGTCTTTTGTAATCATGGCCACAACTCTGTGAGTTGATGTTATTAATTTTATGTTGAAAGATGAAATTGAATCTACAAGAAGTAATTTGAACAAACTCATAGTAAGTTACTTCAGTAGAACTGTAGCTCATAGCTATCTAAATCTATAGCTTACAGAACACACTCAAAGCAGTGAGGACTCCCATTTCTGTCTCATCTCTGCCAAATAATTTAAGGAATACACACACACACACACACACACACACACACACACACACACGCAAAGAGGTTTTTGATTCTGCTACAGGCTATACTCAGGGAGACTTCAGGGAAAATTCCTCACATTAAAGTTACAAACTCAAGCTCAATATTCCCATTATAATTTACAGTCACAATTATGGTCCCCACTTATATGAAGTACAAAATACTTTCTCATATTATAGCCCCATATGCCTAGGTATTTTTTTGATACAAAGTCTTAGTATGTAGTTCAAACTGGTGTTTAACTCCCTCCTGATGCCTCAGCCTTCTGAGGGCTGGGATTACAGGTGTGCTCCAGCATGCCTGGCAATGTATGTCTTACTAGAAAGATGCACATACCTAATTCGCTGTGATGTTCTATTCATCTTTATCTATGTGAGATCATTTATGAATTATGCTGAGACTACAAGAGTTGGCTCCAGTGAAAAAAAAGTCATACAAAGACCAAAAAGCTGAGGCATTTTTGTCCAATATAAGTCTAAAATTAAGCCGTCAGCATTTCAGAAAACAGGATCTATACTTAGCTCAACTTCAGTCTAGCACCACTTGGCAAAGAATCTAATGGGACTATTTAGATAATAGCAGGTATCAGTGGCACAGAGAATTGGTTCCTAAAAAGAGTTTGAACTGATATAGGATATTGTCAAGAGAAAATATAAGAGAGAAAATTCCCACTTCAGAGATAAAAGTAGGGACAAGACAAATTGTGTTAGAGAGATCTTCAGTTCCAACAGGAAGCTAGGCAAAAGGGTAGTTATGTAGCCAAGCATGAAAACCACAGGTAAGGGGAGACTTTGCTGATGAGTACTCAGGGACTCCTAGCAAAGGAGAGCTCCTTCCTTTCAGACCTGGGCCTCTACAGGACAAAAGCATGAGCAGCATAGAGCTGGGTGAACAATATCTGACATTTGGCACCTTATTGATTGTAACTTATGGTTGACTCCATTATTGTGAAGATGCTTATTCCACAATAGGAAAACAGAGGAGTAAAGTGACTTGCACAAGAGTCGACCTGTGGCAAATTCATGACCAGAATTCAGCTCTATGAATTTCTTCTAAAATACTCTCTACACACTTCTAGGCAACGAAAGAGATAAGAGCAAAGAATTATGTGTGTTGAGATTCATGTCTCATATTGATCCTTTCATATCATATCACAATCTGACCACTTACATCTCATGGTGGTACACTAGAAGGAGGATGCCTATTGCTATTTAATGTTTTAATGTTTAAAGTGCTAATGATTGTAAGTACATCAAAATATGATGCAATTTGAAGTTCCTCTATGTGCTAAGTATATTTCAATTGGCTTATAAATGATTCATGATCATTTTAGTTATACTGACTGGTTCACCAATATTGAGTTGAAAAGTAGAAAAATCCACAACTGCATTATTGCACTATAAGTTACACTGCACAATGGTCCATCCCAAAGTACTCAGAGAGAGCAAAGTAAAACCTGTATGTGCTACCCAAAGTAGCAAGACACAGAGAAGCACGAGTTGTCTTTGATCCATCATATGCTGGGAATTTACAAATGTATCATAAAGTGTATTTACTTCAAATTGAATAGCAAAGGTCATTAACTGTTGTTTAATCTATTCACAAATTTTAAAATAACCACTGAATAGGTTATCAAAATGCTAACACTTTAGAAGCTTGTATATGTACTGTAAATTCTGGCATAATTTCTATTTCTGAAAATTAAAGTATACTTTTAAAGTATGTTTACTGTTCTTTCCTTTATTTTTAGACTTACCAAATATTTAATTTTAATAATACAATATATTAAAGAAATATAAGTAGTCCAAGTATTGCTAACTAAGAGGACTCTCTGGTTTATAACATTTACAAATTCCATGACTACTTCAAGACTAACATTTTTATTAATTATGACTAAGACATATACCACAAATGGTAATCTAAATTGACTCAAAATTCTATCAAACTGTTATCTTTCTAGTTGTACTGTCTTTGATTAGTTATGTCTTATTAATTGTCACATTGCATTATATCTGTGCACAGTATGCTACATAATACAGTACAGGGAAAAGAGAAGCAATGTGAAAAGTTGTAGGCATAGCATTTTAATGAGACAGCACTTGTGTTGAATCTGAATACCTGAAGTTAATTCAGAGAGCAGGTATTTGAGTTAAAATTTTTGACATGTTTAGCAAACCAAGTATTCATTGAAGTAGGCAAGGTAGAAACACTGGAAGAACTCCTGGTGACAATTACTACACCTGCAGTTCCTTGATCAAAAAATAAACTTTATATCAGATTGAACTACACAGTGCGCTGGTAGTATGAAATTCTTTATCTTTCTCCTTCAGGTCCTAAAGGGCTTCCCAGAATGCTTACAAGCTGACATTTGTCTACATCTCAACCAGACTCTGCTACAAAACTGCAAAGCTTTTCGAGGCGCAAGTAAAGGTTGCCTGAGAGCTCTGGCAATGAAGTTCAAGACCACTCATGCCCCTCCAGGGGACACCCTTGTTCACTGTGGCGATGTTCTGACGGCACTATACTTCTTGTCCCGAGGTTCCATCGAAATTCTTAAAGATGACATCGTGGTAGCTATTCTCGGTGAGTGTTTCAGAACCAGAAGGTAACAAATTCAGTCATCAGCTATAGCTATTGGTAGCTGTCACAGTACATAATTTAAAAATGATTGGTAAAATGTGGACTTTAATACCAGTGTGTAATTCAAAAGCTGTATTTAAAATTCCATTCAAAGCAAATTAATTTTAATAGAAACACGTTTTATTGACTGTCTTAGTTTTTTCCATGGAATAAAGGCTTCCATGACTTCTTCAGTGCTCGGCAGCTATTCAGACATTTGAGGGCAAATACAGGAAAATAGCATTTTCTTCTCATTTTAGACAACTTTGGTTTCATGCTTTTTCCCTTAACATCTTAAGACAAAATATAAATTATATTTATACTAGCACGTGCCATTGATGTATCTTGAACTGGGTTTATGTTTTATGAATTTCATGTATTCACATACACAAATGGAATTATGAGTTTATATGTAAGTAATATGAAGCTGTGAATATAACACCAAGGATAAAGGTGATAATGAAATTAAAATTAATAATAAATTGGTTATAGTGCAAAAGAAAACCCATGTTTAATCTGTTTTATCTCTTTCAAAATAAACATATGCCATGTGACTGTGTGGGATATCTTCATACTATTCCTATACAAAGACACAGCAAGGGACCAAAGTGAGTAGGGTTTGTTTCCTCTCCTTCCACTAACAAAGAGGTTTCAGGCCCACCGCTCTCATGCTGCTGCCTGCTGTCAGTATCTGTGAAACTTTCTGGTTTTTTGCAGCTCCATGTTAATAATGATCATGAAATATAGCAATTTCCTTTCACTTCAGTCTTGATGTTCACAAATAATGATTAGTTCCAGACATATAGAAGTGTTGTGCGTTTCCTTTGTTGCTGTGCAGAACCACACTATGGCAGAGCAGAGGATTTAGTACACAGATGAAGACATCTGAGGGATTCCCTCCACAGACTGACAATTTTATTATGGTTACAGTTTTTTTAAATTTTTCATAAAGTTGATAAGATATACAGTTTGGTTCCCAATCTGAAAAATGAACGAACAATAAAAACATATTCTAAATTATATCGAAGTTACAGAATACAGTAGTTTTCACAAGATTTGGCTTTGACATCTTATCCTGGTTTGTTGCCAATAGGAGCAAGCTTCCTTGCATTTCTGATCTTCACTGCCTATTTTTCTATGTAGTTAAGATATGGTATTTGACTTCCCTCCTGTTAAATTCTCATTTAAATAAGAATGTTACAACAAATTTTACTCATCACAATTTCACTGTTTAAAAACATTGATAGTCCCCCAGTGGGTAGTTCTCACAGATAGATGAAGTTATCTAGAAAAATCTAAAATGACATAAACAGTAAAATTTTTCCCAAATCTGAAAAGAAGCCTCAGAATAGGCATAAAAAAGATTCTATTTTATACTCATAAAGGATCCTTAAAAGTGTCATAACCAAATTATCCATCAGAATTTAAGTCCATTTATCACATAAATATGTGATAATGTTTAGCAATAGAAAAGTGGGCCAAATATTCAAAAAAATTTCAGGAGGAAATTCAATAGATCACATATGTGAAAACATTGACTCTAGAATCACAGTGCATGAGATTTAATCCTGACTACACGCTCCCTTCCCTCCACTTCACCCTGCTAAGAAGGTGACCTTGGGCTAATCAGTTTACCTCTTTAATCCTCTTTCAGTATTTATAAAATTTGGATAATAATTAGTAATTTCTTCATGAAGTTATTTGGAGGATAAAAATGAAATAATAGGAAACAATACACCTAAGCATTTGACACAATCCCTGTCACCTACTTAATACTCAAGAAAAATATTATTGTTGGTGTCATCCTTATCCTTATTAATTAGCAAGACAAAATCAAGTGGTTTGGATGGTCAGAGGTGATGGTGTGCGTGGGGATGGGGTGGGGGGGGGTGCTGGGCAGAAGGCAGATGCTGAAATAATCATGGGTTTTACAGAAATCGAAGAGGTCAAATGTTCAAAGCAAAAGGCATTTGACAAAAGGCATGTCTACATGTGTTGAAGAAATCTGACTAGATATTTTAAACAATTGGGTGAATTTATTAAAGGCTAATATCAAAGTGGTTATTAAGAGAAACAAGGTCTGTTCACATTTTTGCTCCAATCTTCTAAGCTTTGAAAGAGCTTTTTTAGCACTATCTCTGGAGATTATTCTTTGAATGAATTTAAATCTGACACATTGTGGCCTTTCTCATATTCCTGGATCAGCAAAATCAGAACATACCTTTGTGAAAGTATCTTTAAAATACTTTATGCAGGATCTTTTGCTACCAGTGGGAGTGGGTACCACAATGAAAACTTACTTGCTAATTCTAGACACTTAGCCAAACACTCACAACAGGCAAATGAAAGAGAGCATGCAGAATCAATGACTTTTGGAGTCGAAACTCCATTCAGCAAACATCAGTCAACTGAGAGAATCAGTCCAGACCTGTCAACCTTGTTGTCCAAATGTCTGTTGGTCATGATGGTCTTTGATTCAGGGATTTGTCAATTGGCCATTGGTCTCTTTCTGCTTTTGGAAGGAATATATGTAGATTCATTTTCTTCCAATTTTTTTTTCTTTAGGAAAAAATGATATATTTGGTGAAATGGTTCATCTTTATGCCAAACCTGGAAAGTCTAATGCAGATGTAAGAGCTCTCACATATTGTGACTTGCATAAGATTCAGCGAGAAGACTTGCTAGAAGTTTTGGATATGTACCCAGAGTTTTCTGATCACTTTCTAACAAATCTAGAATTGACTTTCAACCTAAGGCATGAGAGTGCAAAGGTATATGTTAACTGTCTGCTTATTTTTGTATTCTTGACATTTTACTTTATTCTTCAATTGCACAAATACTTCTGAAAAATTAAACAAAATGTTGCTGCAAAACTTAATAAATTCTAAATATAGAGCAAGAAAGGTCAGCTGGATACTGAAATTTAAACTATAGAGAAGAAATTCAACCTACTTACTTTTAAATATATTGAATAATTTTAAGTCTATTAATTAAGTTTAGGAAACCTTATGTGAAATATTTGGGTTAAAATAGTTTGGTGTAGATTGTGTCAATTATTTGTAGGAAATAGTCAACTTTAAACTATTAAATGTTTATCTTACGCAAAAGAAAATATCTTTTCAGCTGTTATTTATATCACATATTTGTTACCACTGACTTTTCAATAATAATGAAAAGATTAACCTCATTCCAACATAGATCCATAATTAACAACATTTCTAAATCAAAGATATATTATATATTCATCAGGTATTACAGTAGACTCAAAATTAATGTTGCAGAATGAATAATATATGGTCTAATAGAAACAATGTTTTAAATAATTCTACACATTATTTAACCTATAATAAATTTTGAGAGTGTAGTTTTCATGTTCCTAACTCTTTTCCACTTGATAATGTCTTTGTGAACCTCTGCTATACCATGAATAAGGGAACTTTGTGGCAGATAACAATTTATTAACAAGTTATTCCTCCTGTGTCCCTTTATCCTCAGAACCTCCAAACCCCTTTCCAGTCATAAACACTTTTAAAGTCATAAACTAAGTGCTGGGCATTTGATGCCTGCTAGTATATTTATATGCTAATTAGTGCATTATCTAGAGAAAGATCTTTAAGTCCATATCCAGGTAAATGTAGATTTGATTCTTCTGAGAGCCATTTATTCTCAGTCACTCTGAGAGACTTAAAGAGAAAAAGCAATTTTAAGGTCACCAGGGTGCTATTCAATGTTCATCTGTACCTGCTTAGATAAGTACCTCTTTACAAACACTAAAAGACTAAAAACTTATTTAGGTGATTAAAAACTTATTAAGAGCATATATTTTCACAGTAGTTTTAATTATGTGCTTTCACACAATCCTAATCAAATGTCATCAACTTCATTCCAATTTTGTCTTGAAAATTAACAAATATCTATCCCAGGTCATTTCATTATTTAAAAAATCAGGCAGCCCAGGAATACAACAGGAGCTTCTATTCTTGCTTATAAGATGGATATTGTACAGAGTGAAACAGAGAAAGAGAAGGAAGTCGGATCAAAAAATAAAGGACTCTAACATAATGTTCATTGAATTCAACAACTTATACTTAGTGCTGTGATATTTAACCTTGTGATCATTACCATGTAATTGAAACATCATAGTTAATTATAATTAGGTTACACATTTTTCTGTGCAGTGATAGGTTTTGTGAAATTACTATTTTAAACTGTCTTAAATTATTGTTATTTTTGCTTTAACTTTACCAAATAACATAAAATACAATTACCATAAAGGAGTATTTGTTTCTAAATACTGGCATCATCTGAAACATTCCAAATAAATAACTTCTTCAACTGTGATTTCCCTATCAGATGGTGAAACCACTAGAATTATTCCATCAGTCCATTTCATACTTCAGAAACAACCATTAAGCAAAGTATTGTAACTATTTGTCTGCACTCTAGTAATTAAGATTCTGAGTGACTGAAGTGATATGAAATAGTAACGAATGCTGACAATTCACTGCTTTAGTGAATAACCTTCCATTTCATCTTTATGATCAATTAACAAAGGCTGATCTCTTACTATAATCACAGTCCATGAATGATTCTGAAGGAGAAAACTTTAAACTACGAAGAAGGAGATTGTCCTTTGAAAGTGAAGGAGACAAAGGTAATTCATTTTCTTTCTAAAGTTTAAATCTGATGCATGTGGTTTTTAAATATTCTTCCTAAAACTCTCACTATATTTCTGATTTTAAGAGTAAACTTCATTTAGACTTTAAGAGGGTAAATTTTTTGCTTTGTAAAATGGTGAATGATTTTCTGCAATTTGATGGATAGCTTTCTACAATGTCATTCAACAAAACCATCTAATATTTACAAGTATTTCACAGATAAAGAAATAAAGTAGGTTGGTTAAAAATGGAAGGCAATTCAGAATAGCCGTATAACTGTGTCTTAGAGCCCTGAACAGAATGTTATGGGAAGAGGACTTCCCCCCGTTACAGGCCAGGACCTCAATCACCTACACATGCTCCATTTGCTTATATGACATGGATGAAAGTCAATGCAGCCTTTCAATATTGCGGATTTTATAACAGCAAAAACTACACCTCAATGGATACTAAAATCATCTTGTAAGACATCATAACTAGTTTAGTGCTATTTTACTGCACACATAAAATTCAGCTTTGAAGGAAGAATCCCAAGTGCAATGAGGATTACGAAGTCAATTAGCAGAGGCAATCAGGAACCTGAAGGAAAACCATGGAGATCACAGAGCATGGAGGCTTACAGAGGTTGAGCTCTGTATTACCCCTCATGAACTTTTCTCCAAGGGACTGGAATTCTTCTAGCTTCATCCTTCTCCACACCCACTTCCAGTTTTGTCTACTACATGTGCTAAGGAGCTCACATTCGAAAGGTGAATTTTAAAAGGAAGAAACATGTAGATCCTCTGGCAAGTTGGCCTTCACATAATGAATTTGTTGAAATAGATGTCCTTTTGAACTTGTGTTCACTTTTTCTAAGGAAATAGCCCACTTCCTTACAAGAGAGTTGTCAGTTCAAGTTCAAATATAGGAACTGATATCCTCAAGTGGTTCTCTTTCCTTTTTAAAATTCTAACACCAAAGCACACAGAATCTGGCCTCCATGACTAGCAGCATTATAGCAACAGGTGCTGCAGTTTCTAAGAAGGAAGCAAAATGTTATTGTTACAAGTAAAGAACAAAAATGATGGATTAGTGGCAAAATAATTGGTCATGGACATTGTTTAAATGTTTGCACAAAAAACAATAAAGAGGAAAATACTCAAAAGTAGCCTATTTAAATAGTCTTCAGATTTCATCTGAGTTGCTAAAATGATTCACTGTATCATGGGAATAATTTTTATTTTTTAAATTACGTGTTGGTATATTGTTAACGTACAATAAAACTACTATAATAGCATGTATAATGGAATAGGTTATACCTACATCTATCTATAAAATAAAATATATAGGTGTGTGTCTAAGTATATGTGTGTGTAAAATATGTCATGACTCACTCACGTATACACACACACAATTTTTTTTTTCCTTTTTATCGGTACCGGGGATCGAACTCATGACTACCTGCTTGCAAGGCAGGCACTTATGCCACTGAGCTAAATCCCCAGCTCCCACAAACACAATTTTTAATGATAAGGCTTGTATAACCAAATATTTGGAGTGTTAGGCTCAATTCTTTCTATTGACAAAAAATACAGTATTAAAATATTACTAACAGCTGATTAGGATACCAATGACTATTGGACCGACAGTAATCCTTTAATGGCAGCAATATGACAGGCTCAAGCCAATCATCAATTTCTTTGGCAAGTAATCATTGATTGAATGTTGAGTGTGCTTATATTTTTCCTCTTTCTCTTTTTAGTTCGTCTTGTTACTATTTCTATTTTTTAATACTCCCTATTTCCTAGAGATTTCTCATATCAAAGAAGCAAACAGAAATTCTTTCTAAATTGTTGTTACTGTCTACATGCCTACCTTTTAACATTTTTGTTATATCTTTTAGATAATTTAGCAGAAAAAATAAAGATTTATACAGAATGTTGAAGAATTTATCTTTACTTTTATACTAGATAGTGTATTGAAAAGAAGAGAATTTAGAAGAACACACTATTTAACTGATTTTAGTGCTTGGAAATACCACTAAGATTTTTTTCAAAAGCATGATATGCAATTCCTGCTGCTATTTTAAATTTTAAGAGAAAGCCTACTGCTACAATTGTCTAGACTAAAGCATGGACATCACCTTGGGTTACTATCATAGTGGAAATAATGGCACAGAAAATGTCTTCCAAAACATAGGTCTTTGGGTTGATAACTTTGCCTCCCTTTTCCCATCAGACCTTTGCAGAGTTATCTAACCCTCTTCCAAACATCATTCCTCTATACCTTCTCTAACTTGCTTTCTTTAAAACATGAATTTGAGGAATAAGGGAAATAATTAGTCTCAATCTTTTTGACTTGAAAAACTTATGAGATCAGAAAGAAAACTCATGTTCTTAAAATATGTAAATGTTGGTCTACAAAGTTAAAGAATGCTGAGCTTGTCCTTAATAATCAAGAAATATAAATTCTTTGTTTCTTTGGATTATCTTCACCAATAACAAACAATGAATAGTTTATTACTTATTTCAGTGATTTGTAAATTCATCTTTTTTTAGTTGTATGAATTTTTTTAAATAAAAGTTATATGTATTTATGGTATGCAATGTGATATTTTGATGGATATATGTTTTAAATAATTATACAATCAAGCTAGTTAACATATTCCTCCTAACTGAAGCTTGTTATCAATGTCTTTGATCAATGTCTCCCCAAATACATCATCTCTTTATTTTAGTTTTTAGGATAATTTAATCTTGTGTTTATCTGAAGTTATAAAGAGTTTAATGTGCTTGATTCCAAATGAAGAAATTTATTTCAGTCTCTGAATTTCCATTGAAAGATTTTTATAATGCAGTAGACTGGAAACTGCTCATCTTATCTAAAAAGTGTAACCAATGGGAAACATAAAACTCAAATGCCAAGAAATTACATTAAATGCTTCTCTCTACCGAAAGTTATATCTCCCTGTGGAGTCTGATAAATAAAAATGTTTAGTAATCTGAGAGAGAGACTCCATAAACAATGAAGAGAGTACTAATGTAAGTCCCCAGTTTCTTTGAAATGGAAGGATTTTATATTATTATTTCTAAAATATATGGGCCAACCACTCCTTCAGGGCACTTTTATCCTATGAACTTGAATTCATTCCGAACTCAGAGAAACAACCACATATTCTTTTAAAACAATGTCCTTGGAGAAAAATGGAAGAAATGAATTGTCAGTCTACAGAAACAAGGGGAAAAAGAAAGATTTTCTGTCATTTAGATCAGTAAATTTGATGCTTAAATAAACAAGTGAAAATTATTGTTTGTAAAATAATGGCCACAGGAGTGATTATACAATCTCACTTCTGGAAAAAGGGAAAAATATATAACTACCTCAGATTTATGTCCTTAGAATAATACTATTTCTACAGAGTGTGAATAACATGAAGGAAAAAAAGCAGTGCCTGATACTGTTCAATGTCTACCAAATAATTCACCATAACTAGAAAATGGCAGAAATGGAACAGTCCATCAAAATCTAGAAGTAGCTTGAGGCTAATTATAATGTAGTTCAGCTGTCCAATTTCAGGTATTACAGCTGCCAACATCCAGAAAAAGCCTGAGCAATTTTCATTTTTAAACCATAAATAGATTGTCATATCAGCTTTCATTTTATGTGACAGAAAGTGAAACTTCCATTTATCTAGTATGGGATTAAAAAGAGCATTGTTTCAGAGGGGCTGCACCAAAGCAACTGTTTATATAACCAATGACCTAGTCTAGCAGAGTATGGAAATAAGTGTGAGTTTTTCTCAGAACAAATTGGAAACATTTGAGAAATTCAAACCTTTTCTTCTTATTTTATGATTTTGTTTTTACTGTGAATTTTTGATAAAGGATTTGGGTCTCATGCATATATAGTAGTTGATTTTATTTTACTATAGAACTAAGTAATTCCTCAGTCAGTAAATTTGTGAATACTTGTCCTGATTTAAAGCAAGCACACTATAATTCAACCTAACAATATGTGCTCACCAATGAATTTTGTTCCTAAGTACTCGAATCATAATTTAGTTAAATACTGAAGCCAATGTAGTAGTTAAGATAAAAAAATTCTACCATATTTAAGGATCTGAAAATTTACAGAGAACTCCCATCACCTCTCATGCTAAAGTCACAAAGAGCATGTTAATTTTTAATGTATATTCAATATTAATATTCATATTAACACTATCCATAGCTGCCAAATTGGAGCCATATTAATTAATGATTTATTCAGTTTATATTAAATTTTGCTGAAAAAAATTTATGAAAATGTTTGAACGAAAAGCATTGTAAGAGTAATGAAAAGTCTAAATTGACTCTAGTCCCACTGATATTCAAGCCATGGATTGAATGGCTTGAATTCAATCTCAAGTTAATCTTTTGGTTAACTAAAGGTTAACTAACAAAGGTCAACTAAAGAGCTGCAAAACAGTGCAAATCACTAGCAGATGTGAGGATAGTTTAGAAAATTAAGCTCTATTTTTTCCACTTTTATAAATATAAAACCAGTATGTGTTGCTTTTTGAGGCATGAAATGTAATGTTCAAAAAAATGGAGAATCTTAATCAAATTTTCAGAGGGTTTTGGAGGAAGGGAGAAGTTAAAGACAAAGAAAACAGGAAATAAGATAACAAGAATAAAGTTTAGTAGTTTTAGGACTTCATTACAGTGAAACTGAAAAACATGACTCATGGAGAAATGATCTGATATTTACAGCTGATTAGATTAGTGGTTGAACAGGGAGGTATCCGTAACAATGAGTAATCAATGTCGACTCTAATACTTGCGAAAGAAAAGATCTATAGTTTTCTTGATAGTGATGAAATCACTGACCACGTAGCAATTTAAGCAATTTGCACTTGCTAAGTTTCACTTTAACAGAACATAAGTTCTTTAATAATAATTTCAGATGAAGTTCACTTTTAATCTCTGCATTTTTATCTCATATTTTAAATATGCTTTCTTGCTTCTCATATTTTAAATTATGATTTAAACAATAAAGGAAAAAATAGTTGCTTAATTTCTATGCCATATGGGAATTAAAAAAAAAACAAAACAGTTTTCTGGAGTCAGTTCATTTGACCTTCTATAAATAAGTAAAAACACCCCAGCTTAGAATATTTGGGGACACTCTTTTCACCGTTTCTCTGGAAAATGATGTTTTCTCAGTGTTTTGTTGTTAGTTATTAGCAGGAACCAGATGGAGAATTATACTGTCTCCCCAGGACAGTAATAGAAACAAGTTCTGAGATGTGTCTGAATTTTTCCTGCTAAAATATATTCTAACACAACCTTCAAGGATGAAATTATCCTGACATTTCAGTATAAAACATCCAATATGCACTAGTGGGCTGTAATGTAATTAGGTAAAACCTATCTCAATTACTGTGTTTAAGCTCTATATTCTTTGCAATATGGCACAAAACCAAACTTCCTGGAATGTCAAGGCCATTACATGCATTGAACAAGGTGGAAACTTGGTCCTTCAGTCTGCACTATAAGAAGACTCCTAATTTTGACCTTTGCAATGTGTGAATGACTTCACAAATGGGAAAGTTGAAAACAAATGATAGGTTTCACAGTGGTAATATTTTAGAATTTATCCACATGTCTTCTTGTCTTTTTTATCTCCCTAAAGAGAGAGTACACCAGATTCTCAGAATTCAAGTGAGATTTGAGCATGTATAAATACATTTGCAAGTTATTCTATAGTTTTCTCTAAAACCTAAACTCTACTATTTTGAATATTTTAGCTTGAAATTAATGAAATTAATAATTCATTTCATAAAAGTAGTTTTAACCGCTTAGTTTAAAAAGTAAATCCTCTAAGCAGCTACAGTTACCATGGCTGAAAGGTTTTGTATGCTAAGGGGTGTGATATGCAAAGAGTCTCACATCAGATTATGTGCTATAAAATAACTTTTCTATGATAGATTTTGGCAAAGAAAACAGTACAAATGATCCTGAAGATTCTACGGATACCATAAGACATTATCAGAGTTCCAAGAAACACTTTGAAGAGAAAAAAAGTAGATCGTCATCTTTCATCTCCTCCATTGATGATGAGCAAAAGCCACTCTTCTCAGGAACAGTAGATTCTACTCCAAGATTAGGGAAAGCAACGGGGCTTCAGTTTGAAGAGACAATGCCCACCTCAGGAAGAATGCACACAGATAAAAGGAGTCACTCTTGCAGAGGTAAGGGAGACTCAGGTCTCAGGTCTCTCTTTAATGTTAAACGTAAAATGGTAAATTTTTACAAGATAAAAAATCATACTGATACATATCAGTCTGATCTATTTTAATTAATGAAATGTTTTCAAACAGTTCAGATTTTAAATCTGATACAACATGTTTTCATAATTCTGGAATGAGAAGTAATTAATCCCAAATAATATTAGCATGAGAAATATTTGTGGCTAACCAGATTTAACATAGTACCATGTAGAAAACTGTGAGAAACCTATTGATGCAAATGGTTCCAATGAAGAGAGAATTGATAACTATTTTGACAGAGCTCACTAGTTGGTCCTTCATATGTATTATCTGTACTTATTTCTTGCCGACAACTTTGTAGTTTTACAGCAAGAAGCATGAGTACTGTAGCACTACAATATATGCCAAAAAGAATTTTATTTAGATGAAAATTTTAAAAAACAAGAGAAATACCCTGAAATGAGGTATATTCATGATAGAACTCTTAATATCCTCATTAAAAGAAACACCAAATTATTGGTTTTGTGATTGAAAATATAAGTGATGAGTAATAACACTTGATTAATATATATAGCATTTATGTTAAGTTATAGAACTTTAAAAACTATTATATGGAAAACATTAACTTTGCATAATAGCAGCTAGATCTAGCTATTAAGGAAGAGCCGTAAGAGATACGGCTTAGACTGCTCTGTCACTCGCTCCTTTTATAATTTTGGATAAGAGGCTTAACCCATCCTACTAAGATTTTGCACATTTTGAAAATAGGAATAATTTTACCTAAGGGATTAATTGGATTATTAACTAAGGTGAAAATTACTTTCTTTGAAATAAAATCTCCAAATCTAGTATTTTCTCACAGATTTTATTTTCTGACCCTTTTATAATTTAATATGTCCCTAGATGTTAAAAATACTGCATAACGTAAATAAAAACTGCTTATCATCACTAATAGTATTTCAAAAGATCATATCTGAACTCAAACTAGGATACTTGGGCTCTCTATTTTTCCAGAGTTACTTTCCTATTATGTCATATCAGCTTTTGCCAGAACTGTATATGGAAGTAAGCTAAGAATATATGCAAATGTCCTCTGGACAATCTTAAAATCTTGATGAAGTGAATGAAAATAGTACTTAATTTATCACAGTGGAAGAATGGAATATTAGATGTGATTACCAAATGTCCCATTTTAGTTATTTATGAAAATGGATTCTGAGAAGTGCTAAAAATAGAAACTGGTTGTGTCATAGAAGTCAAAAGTTCTGATGAGCTTGCCAAAGGATCTCTACTATATCCAAAAGTAGCATGGGATGGGCTTCTTTTAAAAAAAAAAAAAAAAAAAAACAAACAAAAAAAAACCCGTACTTTTTGTTGTTCTCATCCTGAATTTTAGATGCTCAAGTGAGAAGTCAATAAGAATATTTTTTTTAGATTTTATTTGGCTTTATAATGATTCTCCCTGGCAGTAAATTCTAACGCCCTTCGTCATATATTTTTCTTTGCTGCTTCTTCCAATTTTTAATTAGCTATTTTATCATCCCAATAATAATATTCTGACAATCTTAATGTCTCCAAATTTTTATTTCAAAATTGTATATCATAATTCATGTTTGAGTAATATCTTGAAAATACATAGCTAAACATGCATGTAAATGAAAGAACCATAATCAGTGCCACAGAGTTTCAAAGTGAACATAACATGATTAATTAATATTATAAACTAATGTAGAATTTTAAAATTTGACTCCTGCAAATTTTATTCCTTAATAACTTTAACAAGAAATATTATTTAATAGTTAAGAACTTCAATGATATATAAGGTGTGGTTATAACTATTGCAGTTTGAACTAGTAACTTCTCACAAACTTTAGCTTCCCCATCAAATTCTTGGTATCTGTCACTCTGAATCCAACAAAAGAACACATTTAGGCAAGACTCTTTAAACTTGACTCATTCTTTTTATACTAAAGTCAAAAGTTGACTGTAGAAAAGTTTTATATCCAGAGTAAAACAAATGGACTCATCCTACTTATGTTGGAGTCAAAGGTTGACTTCAGGAAAATTGTGTATCCAGAGCAAAGTGAAAGTTTACTTTCTGTTCATCCATTTACAACTATAGCCTTGCAACTATAGCAACATTTTCCAAGGCAACCAAGGCAACCAAGTACTGATTCTGTCTGAACTATATTTAGAAAGTGCCTGCAAAAATGTTCATTTGATTAAGACCACTCGCCAAGATTTTTTATGTTTCTGTTAAAACAAGCTAATCATGTATCTCTAGATTTTAATACATGTAAATTATAATAAAGGAAGCATCTATCTCAGTACATTTTATTCACTTTTACTAAGATAATAATTTTTTCTTGAGCACAATAGAAGATATAGTATTCTCCAAAATTTATTGCATATGATTCACCATTGTCATTTAAAAATCAATTTATTATGTGTGAGTTGAAAAATGAGAGAGCTGTTGAGCAGATGTGGAACTTCTCTAAGCTTTGTTGATACAAAACTTTTCTTGAGCACAATATGTAACTGCAATATGTAACTTCCTAACTCTTCTCATCTTTAATGAATGTTCATAAGTGAACTGGATATCAGGGGACTAGACAAGACAAGTGTTCACATTACAATGCTTATTTGGCATCCCTAATCCAAAGTTGAAAACCTAGTGGCCTAGGATACTACATGATTGCTTTGCATTTAAATGGGTTCAAATACCTATGAATAATAAATCATGCTTCTCAGTGAAAATCTGACAAATTACCTAAAATGCTACCATTTTTCTATGTCCATTTCCATTTTTTCATGTATAGTAACACATCAAAATAAATGGTAAATTGTCACCTTAAGAAAAATAGTAACCAGTGAGCTCCTGTAAAGAAGTCATAATCCTCCAAAGCCTTTCTGGCATTCATAGTCAGGTCTCCAAGGACTATCGAGCATCATTTTAAAAAACAAGGAATCCTACCTACTCTTTTTCTCTTACTGTCTTGAATGTGCTCATTCCTTTGTTACAACTTTCTCTCCTGAAGCAGAAATTTTAGGCACTTCATTACAGAAATTTCTGTACACTAAGTGATTAAAGACAGTAAGAGAAAAACCATAAAATACAGAATTTTTGTTCTACTTAGAGAAAGAATACACATTTCACCCCCATAAATATACTTTTTGAGAAACTATAGGAAAGAACTTGCACAGCTCTGTTCTCTGTTTCTAAAATCAGTTAATTTTGTCCAATTAATATCCATTTCTTAAATAGCTGAAGATGTAAGTTCTACAACTTCATATGATAACTTTTCTCAGGATTTAATCACAGGTACTTGTCAAGATTTTCAAGTCTTTATATTGAAGGCACGTTCTTTAGCTCAAATTTATGTCCACATCAAAACCAAGACCAACTTGATGTGGTCCCTCCTGCTAACCATCCATCCTGTGAGGCAAACAAAGTCTCATCATCCTCATCTCAACTCCATGGGTTTTATTTTCCTGGGTTTTATTTTCCACAATTTTAATTATTTTGTGGAGGCTAAGAAAGTATAGCAAAATATAAAAAGCATATGGCAGAAATGAGGGAGAAAATAGGATATATTTTCCCCAAATAATGGTAACTTGGAAATATAGGGTCTAAGAAAAACAATAAATGAAGTTTATAAAATGCATATCTTCATAAAAAAATGATCACAACCACGTTAGACTTAATTCTACAAGCCCAAGGTCTTTGTTTACCTTGTTCTTAATTTTTCCACATTTAGCAGTTTCTGGCACATAATAAACACTCCAGAATACTGGAAAAGTAGGCTTGAACCGATAAATAATTTATTTTAAAACAAATTTAAATAGCCACAAGGAAAAACATTGGAAAGTAATATGATTAAAAACACATTACAAAAGGTTACAAGAAAACATAAAAATATAGACCATCACTTGAGGTATGAGCACTGCTAAGAATTCCCATTTTTCATGGCTTACAGCTTTTTCACTCTGGTTTAAATAAGGCTGGCCCAAGAGAATCATCCTAAAGTTTAACATGTCTTTCAGTACTTTGTCCTTGGCCTCTCTCTGAGTTACAAAAATTGTGAATTGTCCTATGAGAAGAAGCCCCCCATATCTTATATCCTAGGTAAAGCGGTAGGAATAAAATGTGCATTTCTTCCCAAATTTAGAAGCTCAACACCATTGCTCTCTAATCAGTATGGATTCAGCCATCCATATCGTCTCTGAGCAGGAAACAGAAAGATAACAAAATCATAACCAAAACTCTTGTTGCCAGAGTTTTTTTAATTCTAGGAAAGTGGATGCGGGGAATAAAGCAGGCAGTAGGACAGTGGTACCCTGCCACAAACTGGTCAAGGTCCTCAGTCCTGTATCTAAGCTCCTCTTGTTCTCTGTATCTCACTGAGATCCTTCCCAGCTTGTCTTGGGGGTACTCATGTTACTGAGGCAAAGGAGCACCTGAGGAAGCTGACTTCCACTTGCTTTTTTACACAGATATCACTGGCATGCAAAGTTGGGAAGAACACCACACCAGAACTCAGCCTGAAGAGTGCAGTACCCCAGCACTTCAGCAAACTGCCTGGGGGACCTCTGAAACTGAGAGCGACCTCACCTATGGGGAGGTGGAACAAAGGTTGGATTTGCTTCAAGAACAACTTAACAGGTGTGAGCAATAGCGGACCAAAGGAGGACCTCACCAATCCTTCAGATGTGTCTAACTTTGCTCTTAGTGAGCAGTGAAATCTCTTTTGCCGTGATCTCTCGGTTTTTATACAAACTTATTTGAAATAAGATTAGAAGGTGACAGAATTATTATTTTATATTGCACAGAGCATTTGTTTAGAATATTTCATATTTTAGCAGTAAATACCCTAGTTATTCTAGGCTATCCAATTATTGTATCATCAGTACTGACTGCTTTAGAAAACTACTTTTATTCTGCCCTCAAAATAATTCATATTTACTTTTTAACTAACACTTTTCTTCTTTTAAACTTTTTTTTTTGCAATTTTCAATTGTCCTTGATAGTCTAATTATGTATTGTGGTATCTAAAAATACCAAATAAGTGACTTAAGCAACTATTTGTTTAGCCAAATTTCCAAAATGTGAATGAATTTAAAATTCTACAAGTTAAAGATCAAAATATCTCCATTTTCCTTTCAATTTTGATTTAGACCATTTACTATAAGCAATACATTTTGATTTTAGGGAGAAGATAATGACTTCACCCAAACCGGTGTAGTTTCATTAAAATTAAATGAGTTAAAAAGATTCAGGGGGAAAAATACTACTATGTTATAGGTGTTTTGGTTGTGTTTTATTTGAGTATTTGCCTGATCAAATGGCAGTCTTCATGTACATCCCAGGGAAAGTATCCCTGTGGTTACAGATAGAAAATCTCCATGGATTAAGATAAAATGCTCAAATCATAGAATTTATTAAATCAGTTTAAAGAACACAATGAGAGATAAGGAGAACCAGATGGAGTAACTAGTACATTTCAAATAAGTGCAAGTATGGTGAAAGAGCCACACTACTTGAATACTAATTTATATGATGTCATACATCTGTTTTTATCAGCCTTCTTCATCTGTGGTATGGCAATAAGGACCAGACTTGAAGTTTCCCCAGAGAAGTTCAGAGGCAAACACAAAATCTATGTCAATGCAATACACTGGTACCATAACAGAAACATGAACTGGTCCACTTGGACCCGGCTGTGACTTTTAAATTAGCCTATTTAACAGCTGTGTATGTGTTTTGCTGATCTTTCTTATTAGACTGTGTTGAGATCCAAAATAAGACTATACTGGAGGGGGCTGGGGATTTAGCTCAGCGGTGTTAGCACCTGCCTTGCAAGCAGGCAGTCGTGAGTTTGGTCAAATTGGGGGCCGGGAGTTGTCTTTCCAGATATGACATAAGAATAATTCATTGTTTCCATTTCTTTCTATTATAATTACCACTCTTGTTTATTATATCACTGTTCCATCCTGTCTTTGGTATGTTTTACTATTCACTAGCATGTGTGTCTGTATTTAATATATATTATTAATTCTGCCCAAGTCCAGAAGTTATATATTTTTCACATAGAATATATAGGAAATAGGTTCTATTTTTCAGAGACTGCACTGCTTCACAAGTTTCACAGGACTCAAAACAGTCTTCATAAATTTTAACTCTATATTGTACCTTGAATTCTACTTGTTGATTGAGTTTTTTTATTCTATTACCTGCCCCTAAATCCTTTTTTCAATGATCTGTCCAAATAATAAGGCTAATAGTACTAAATGTCATTTAGTAACTATCATGTAAGCCACTCATTAGTAAATGCTATTAATAATGAGATAAATTTATATAAATACTTAGAATGAAGTGTCAATATAAAATTTTCTTTGGAAGCTCAGAGAAAGAATATACAGTAATTGTGACTGAATTAAATAAGTAAAAATTTTGGGTGCAGACAAAATTTGAGCTGGATCTTGAAGAATAAAAAGAAAAACTGGTTAGTTTGTATTTGGTTTAGTTGTTGCCATAAAATACTAGGTCTTAAGTAAAAAGGTAAGCAAACCAGTTGATAACTTCATTTTTATTCTGTTGGTGTGTGGTGCTGGTAAATGTAAGGTGTATTTGGTATAAATTATAGTTATTGATTTAGAAAACACTGAAATATCTAATTATGTTTATCAATTATAGAAAATTTTTAAGGATACCTGTCTTGGTTACTTTTTTCTCATTGCTGAGACAAAACATCTGATGCACAAACTTACGTAAGGAAAGGTTTATTTAGCTTACAGTTTTTGGAGGTTTCAATCCACACTTAGCTGGCTCCAAGGCTAAGATGCTATCATTCATGGTGGCCACAAGTGACAAGAGCAAAAGAGCAAAAAAAGAAAAGCATGCCTCCTTCCCTCCCTTATATTATATGTCGGCTATCCACTCCTAGGCAGGTGCAGCATTCACACCACCAACCCTAGCACTAGACAATGAACCAATCACAAAAGCTAGATTCAGCTGCCTCCATGACTACATGAGGCTTTTGAGAGACACCAAGACACAAACCATAACATTCTACCCCTGGACCCCCAAAGACTCATGTACATCCTTTATGCAAAAGACATGTAGTCCATCTCCAAGAGTTTCCAAGTCCTAAAAGTTTCATCATTGCTGAAAAGGGCAAGTTCCAAGACTCCTCTGAGATCCAAGGCAAATTCTTAGTTGTAATCCCCTGTACAAATGAAAACAAAGTTAAACACTTTTAACATACAGTGGAACAAAATAAACATTATCATCTTAAAAGGTACAAACAGGATACAAAGGATTGGAACCAAAACAAGTCCAAAATCCAGCAGGACAAACATTAAATCCTGGCATCTGAAGTAATCTGGTTATGATTCCATCTCCCTAATACTTTCAGAGGTTTTAACTTTTATGGCTTCTTTCTTATGCCCACTTTGCTCAGTCCTTGCAATTTTCCTTATATGATCCATGTTCCTGGCTTTTCCAAACTTCTGGATTCTCCATTGTATCTTGGCTTTACATTTACAGCTTCACACACTGCCGTCTTGAGGGCACATTGCCTCGTCTCCAGGCCCTCTGAAATTGGAATGGAAGCCTTTTAACCTCAGAACTAGTGCACTCTACATGTGCTTAAAAACAGCACCAAGTGGATGCTGCCATGGGACACTGCCAGCTGGAGCAGTAGCCAGTCTTTCCTCTCTCTTGGCAGTAGGGGTCCCGTACCTGGATTGCTGAGCACTATGAATCTGATTATGAGGAACAGATTCTCTATGTCTCCACCATTCTGGAACCTGGTGCCATTGCCATTTTGAAACCTCATGTGGTCTCTGTAGCCGTGATGGAATATGGCATCTGCAGCTTTCTCTTCCAAGCAAAGTCGCTTTTGCAGTTTTGAGACAGCAAAGGGAGTCTGAGTCTTTCTGTGATGCTCATAGACCTTTTTATTTTATTTTATTTTATTTTATTTTATTTTATTTTATTTTATTGTTCCTTTTCAGCAAATGAGATCTCAGGTCAAGCTTTACAGTCCACAGTTTTACTGGAGATTTCCTTTTGGCCAAGCTCACAGTGTTTTAAATCACACTTCTGGGTTTTTTGCTCTTGATTAGCAATATAAATTGGGCTTAAAAACCCCCAACAATATCCATGACACCACCTCAACATTTGATTGCTTTGAAATTTCTTCTGCCAAATTAATTATTCCACCACCCTTAATTCAGTACCAGGCAAAAACATGAGCAAAAAATAGACACATATTCTGCCAACCCATAACATATATCATCTGGTGTCCAGTAACCAGTGTGGTCCTTCTTCCCAGCAGAAACCTCTCACCTGGTCTTTACTGGATTTTTGGTCTTCTGAGCTCTGACCATAATCTCCCATGCAGAACAGCCTAAGGTGTTCTAGTGCCACTATTTCAGGCATCTCTTCCCACAAGATATTCTCAAAGGCTCTTGAACCATATGGCCAGGTATAATAACAGCAATGACCCCAGTTCTCTGGTACCAAATCCTGTCTTGGTTATCTTTCTCTCATTACTGAGGCAAAATACCTGATGCACAAATTAGGGAAAGAAAGGTTTTATTAGCTTAGAGTTTTTGGAGATTTCATTCCGTACTCAGCTGGCTCTAAGGCAGGGTAATATGGCCAAGAGGCAGCCATTCTTGGCAGCCACAAGTGACAAGAGCAAACAGGGCAAAAAGAGAAAAGCACAGCTCCTTCTCTCCCTTATATTGTATGCCGGCTACCCACCTCTGGGTGAGTGCAGTGCTCACATCGCCAATCCCAGAGCCAGACAACAAAGCAATCACAAAGGCTAGATTCAGCTGCCTTCATGACTGCATGAAGCTTGGGCGAGGGATGGGGGAACCAAGACACAAATCATTCATAACAATATCTTATTATGATGTTTAAAAGGAAGATTTGAAGTGTTTACAATTAGAAATAGGAAAAATTGACCTTTCTCATATTTTCAGTGGTTTTGTTTGTTTTGCTTTCTTTCAACTCAAAGTCTAATTTACCTCACTTTATATTCCATAGACAGGGGCTGGGGGATTTAGCTCAGCAGCATAAGTGCCTGCCTTGCAAGTGTGCCGTCAAGAGTTCGATCGCTGGTACCGAAAAAGACAAAAAAAAAAAAAAAAAAAAGAAATCCACAGACAAATAATATGCTCAATTGAGCAAACTTATTTCTAAGATTTACTTTTTCTTTGCATATTTTTACTTGGACACAAAGCAGTACAAACAAATAAGGAACAATTTAGAAGAATCTTCCAAAGAGGAACACACACACATCTGTGCTTTAACCTACACATTTCCACTATTTTTAATGTTAACAAGTGCAACAGAGGTAAATCAGGCCAAATATATTTTTCCCTCTTTCTTTGAATTTTAATTTTAAGTGGTAATCATGTTAGTGATCCGGTTATATGAACTTTGGAAAAATAACTATCATGCTAATATTTTGCAAGTCACATAGGTTATAGAAACAAATGCACTTTTAATGTTAGATTGCGTTTTAAATACTGAAGCTCTGGGCTGCTGTGCTATAGGTAGAAAATAATTTATTTAACAGCATTTAACATTAAAGAAAAAATATAATGAATAATATATATGTAATGCTTGCTTTGAATAGGATAAATGCAAAGTAAAAAAATGTAAATGTGAATTTGAAACATAAAAATTGTCCTGAATTTCTGTAACTGTGAAAGAAATATGCTACTATCCTCTTCTTTAAAGAGCAAATGTTGAAAAGAAATCGAAAAGTCTATTAAAGTCAAAAATAGTTATGGATTAAAAAGAAATTTAAAAATTTTATGTTTTGAACTCAATAAATCTTAGTAAAGATGCGGTCTATTCCCTTCATCTGCTGTCCTTCTAATTCTCAATAAATGAGCAGGAAAGTAATCGTCTATCAAATCATTAGGGGGACAGAGAGTGAGCATCAGTCAGGAAAGAATCTCTGTGCTCCCTCTCCTGTCTTTCTTGTTTAAAGAAAGGCTGTATTTCTGTTTGTTGGTAGTGCTGAAGTTTGTTAAGATGCTATTGCAATGTTTGGAGTATTTTACAATTTTCTTTCCCTCTTGCAGACTTGAATCCCAAATGACAGCAGACATCCAGACCATCTTACAGCTCTTGCAGAAACAAACTACTGTAGTGCCTCCAGCCTACAGCATGGTAACTGCAGGAGCAGAGTATCAGAGACCCATCCTTCGTTTGATGAGAACCAGTCACCCCACAGCATCCATTAAGACAGACCGAAGTTTCAGCCCCTCTTCACAAGTGAGTGTAGATATTTCACAGCCAAGAGTATACCTCACAGTATGCGTCCAAATGCCACAGAAGAATCTCCTGGAATGCTGTGCAAAATATAAATTTCCATCTCCACTTCTATTTCTACTCAGAATTTCTGATAATAAGCCCCTTACTCTGTGTTATCCTCCTTTAAAGTTTGAGAATAACAGACCTAGAAGAATAATCTTATTCTTATACTAGCAAGCATTTTTTTTAAAAAACCTCCTTTTTTCAAGGATCAACCTGTGTAAATTTACATGTGTTAGAGATTCAAAAGCTAAAGAATAGCCCTAGATCTAAAATATCCATCTGAGGAAAATCCACAGTTTGATCCAATGAAGAGAGACAGGTTGGGCAAGTTTCAGGAAGGAAAGAGAAGTAGCACATGGGCCAGATTACACCTGAGATTAAAATGTAATCAGATTAGTAACTCCTCTGTGCTTCACTCACTACCATTGATTTCTAATTTTGTTTAAACTGATTATTATTTCATTGAAGAGAAAATGCCTCTTTGAATTATATTAGTATGAAAGGTTTAATTGCCTTAGAATCCTATTTTGAGAATTCGTTTTAGTTAAGTAAATAGCATAGCCAAATGCAATCTAAGAATGATGATTTCACTGAGCATTTAGTAGCCAGGCATGATGACACATGCTTGTGGTCCCATCACTCAGGATACTGAGGCAAGAGGACCGCCAAGAAATCAAAACCTGTAAAACCATGCATGTTGTTGTTTGCTTTCAATGGATTTAAATACGTTATCTGATGAGACTGTCAATTTTACTCCTTTCTTTTCCTTCATCTTTCTCATGTACAAACTAATCATCAAATGACCATATTTCCTGTCCTAGCTTTTCATGAATGGTGAAGTAAAACTCATTTGGAAAACTCACAGTTAAATAATTTGCACAGTTTGCAAACTTAGTCTTCTTAATCTGACTTCAACGTAAAATTAAAATTCTTGGAATTGTTTTAGGATTGCCTAAACTGATGACTAAGCTTCCAATATTCTAATTGTTTTGGGGAAAATGTTGGTTAATAACAGTAATCAAATAAGGCTAAGAAAGAAAATATATCTGGATTTTATCAGTGTAATTTTTAGGTGACTGATGTTGTGAATTACAACCAGTGTTTTCTTTTTTTCTTTCTGTCAGTGTCCTGAATTTCTAGACCTTGAAAAATCTAAACTTAAATCCAAAGAATCTCTCTCAAGTGGGGTACATCTGAACACAGCTTCAGAAGACAACTTGACTTCACTTTTAAAACAAGACAGTGATGTCTCTTTAGAGCTCCACCTGCGGCAAAGAAAAACTTACTTTCACCCAATTAGGCATCCCTCCTTACCAGATTCTTCCCTAAGCACCGTAGGAATCTTGAGTCTTCATAGGCATGTTTCTGATCCTGGTCTTCCAGGAAAATAATCATTTTGTACTATTTATTCCACGTACAATGTAAGTGCTTTTAATGGCTGTTTTCCTTTTTGTATTTAAATTCTCTACTCGACTCAGGGGCTCACAAGTTACCATTATATGCAAAAGTACTGTATATTTTCCTAAATTGAAGCTTGTAAGGTAAAATTGAGCAGTTAGACTGTAAATATACATAAGAATTTTTGTTTACAAATGTTAAAACTGCCAGCATCTCTAGGCATCTTATTTTTTGTTTTTATTTTCTAAATCATGTGCATGTCAGGAAACTCCAATTCCTCTTGCATGGAGAGTCCTATTCATTGCTTTTAATGAGCAAGTACTTTGCTGTGAAGATGCCTTCCAAGCAAATAGGAACCAAGGAATAAAACTATTCACAGATACAACTCAGATGATCCTGAGTTTGCAGAAGTTCAATGCGAGTGAAGGGAACTTACTCTTGAGAACAGATATTCTTCCACATTGAGATTTTTGTATTCAGTTACATTTATTTCCCCATACTGATAAAAATACAGAGTCTGAGATTTATAAATCTCAGATAGAAAAGGAAGCCATCTCTAAATATAGTGAAGAAAAAATAAGTTTTCTTTAATCTGCACAATCTGTAGAGGGAAAAAGAGGAGATCAAGTGAAAGATAATTGGGTTTGTTAATGAGTGCAATGCACCTCACATGAGAGAAACCCCTCAGTTCTAAAGTAACTCAGCCCAATGGCTTGGTAGCTCAGCTTATGTAAGACTTTCAACAAAGAGCAATACATTTTAGAAAAGTGACAGGACAAAGAAGAAAGCAGTTCAGGCTTCCAAATGTGGGGAAACTGTGGGAAGGCATAGGTCTGCTCCCGGATTTCTCTAGGCCTGCAGTGTCTCAGCTAAAAAGCAATCTGTTGCAGAGGACAATTTACATCCTTTAGTCAGGAAAGTGGGAGGAATATAGAAAGACTTTGTCTTTGTGCATCTTTGTCCTGCTTTTAGGCAGGCACACTGCAGAGGCTGGAAGCTTTACTGCATTTTTATTGTTTTCAGCTAAACAATCCTTCATACACTGGGGAGAAATATTTTGGTTTTCTTCAACATGAATATAGGCCAACATTAACGAAAGTAAAATGTCATTAAAATCTTGGCACTAATTGTGTTTTCAAACTATCTAAAATTTCTTACACATTTCCTCAAAGGCTAAAACAAAATGTACTTACATGTGCACGTGTGTGTGTGTGTGTGTGTGTGTGTGTGTGTGTGTGTGTGTAGCTCTCCTAAAGAATTATTAAAATGCAACAGACACGAACTGATATCCATAGCTTCCTTCCTATGCATATTTCAGAGAAATCTTGAATTTGATTAAAATAGGAACATAGTTTTTAATGAATGTGCAGTTTCAATGGATTTGCATGGTAAAACAGCCTATCAATAAGTATATGCTGTACTCCAGCTTTCTAATCCCAGGTGTGTATTTACCACTCAAAAAGAAAACAAACACACTTGGAGTAAAATTTCAATTTTTTTTTGTTATTCAGACATTTTTATTGATTGAAATTTTATTACATATGGGCAAATTTTATTATATATGGGCAAGACTGGATACATATTGGCTTTAAAATATTAGAATATGTTCAGCTATTTGGTCTGGGAACATAAAATCAGTGTACAGAAAAACACTAAAAGTTAAAGATTCTGATGAGTCAAGTTCTACTTAAGAAATTTTATTTTCAATTTTAAAATTTTAAAATTTCTAATTTTAAAATTATTACAGATTCATTATATCACTTCTGTACAAAATTTTTGAACTTCATTGGAAGTATCTTAGTTCTTTATTATCTCACCAACAGCTTTAGAGAAATAATTTATTTAAATTTACAAAAAAACTTTCACTATTTAAAATGTTATTAAAATGACCTTAAATTGCTCCCAGTGTAGTTTGAATTGGTCACAGAAATTGTTAACCAATATAGGAGGCAATCTATAGACATGAACATGTTCTTATCTCTAATTTTTTTAAAAAATGTCATCAAATATGGGGAATAAAACATAATTCAGTGAAACCATAATTAAATTCATATAATAATTAAAACCCTTCCCTAAGCATTTATTGTTATGCAGATAAAAATTGAGGAAGTAATGGCCAATTTCAACCCTTCATTCAACACTGGATTCTAGAAGGGGAAAGAGTCTTATAAATGGCTAACTTGGATTCTGAGGTCGATTTAGGGATTTTATTTCCACATTGGGGCACATTTTTGCAGCTGCAACAAATTTTATAAGGATTGTCTGTCTAAGCTCCAAGCACTTTCAGAATGAATTCACCAGAGATTGTCAATTTGTAGGGAGATAGAATTTGGCAGGTGAGGAATTAAGATCTGATTGTTTGATTACTAAATGCTTCAGCTGCAACATTTGGTATGCCATGCATAAAATTCAGCCTTCTACATAAAACCTTTATTTATAAAAATAGCATTCAGGAAAAAGAAAGATGGAGAATAGAATATAAGCAACCATCTTCTATAAATTCTAACATAACATAAATCTTTTGTTGTTGTTGGTCCTTGATATAAAATGATTGCTTCATATTAAAATCTTAAGTCTCAGTGAGTTGGACAGGATTATAAAGGTCCTTTCTTACTGAATATTAGCTTTAAAAGATCCTGAACAAGATAGAAGTGCTTAGTTTGGCATAAATGTCAGAAGACTCAATGGTTAAACTGATTTATAGATGACCAAAGCAATTATCTTGTTCCACAAAACACATTCCCTTGCCCAGCCAAAGATCTAATGCCTAAAACCATCATAACCTTTCTATCATCTGAAGAAAGCCGTCTGACACCTCCATCCTGGGATCCTGCTGAAGGCCAGGTCTCACTGTTGCAGCCACTCAAAATAGCATCACAGCAACTACTTTCCTTCACGGTAGTCAGCAGCACTAGTATAACTCCTATTCACTTTCCAGTGTTACCCGGTTCCCTACCATAAATAAAATGCCAGCTAAATCTAAAATTTGTGTAGTTTGGAGGCACTCCTGTTAATTCGTTGCCAACCAGAGAGCTGATATGTAGACTGATTGTTCCCACAGGGGTAGTGTTGAATTACAGTTGAGAAGACAATGAGGAATAAAAAAATGCTGAAGCAGTGTTTCACAGAGGTTTTAATTTAATAATCACTAACAAACATAGGAAAGGAGGAGGAGGAAGACTTGGTACTGCATGATTTGTTATGTACATTTTAGTGGTTTGGTATGTAAGCTGAATTTTCCTACTCTTGTCAGGATGTATGGCAACTAAATCAGAGTATGGTAGCAGAAGGAGTCAGATTTTTAAATTTTATTTATTTATTATTTTCTGGAGTTTTGCTCCAGGAACTGGCTTTATACCTGTGCTACACCCTAGGGGGAATCAGGTTTAATATATGTATCGGAATTGCTTACAAGTTTTTTATGGAGGTTGATCTTCAGTGATTGTTTCAAAACTCCTAGAAGAAAAATGTTCTGACATAAATGTCATTTAAAAATCCTATCAAACAGTACTAGCTCAAAATAAAATTTATTTCCTAAGCATATTTAAAATATTAATTATTATTAACAAGTGTCTTCTGAAAGTTTTTACGTTAAAGAAATTCAGTGATTGACCAGTTATCAGAGATTAATTATAACATTGACTAATTTATAATTAATTTAACATAGTGGAGTCTTTAAATTGCAAATCCATGAGGAAATCTAAAAGTACATCAATATATGTTAGCTTTCTTACAAATCAAGCATTGCATAATTATAAATTCAAGTATTTCTAATCATTTTTATAGTAAAACAGATAGGTCTATCATATGAGTTCCAAATGCCCTTGGAAGACAGGCTAATGTGAGACAGTCGACCTTAAAATGTGGTTCTTAAATTAACAGTGCTAGCATCACCTGAGAATTGTTCTAAAGACACATTCTTAGCCAAACGTCTGGATCTACTGTATCAGAAGCTTTGGGGTTTGGACCCAACAAATAAATTTTAACAAACTCTCTCCCACATGATCCTTCCATACATGAAAAATTTGATGCCAGCAGGTGGAAGGGCAAAGTGGCCTACAGTCAGACTAACTTCATCTCCACAAGATTCATTCATTAACCTGCTGTGTGACCCTGAATGAATTTACCTCCCATAATCTGTTTTCCTGAATCTATAAAGAAGTGATGGTAGTACTCACCTCACAAGATTGAAGAAGAAATGAGATATAAAGTGCCTAGCACATAGTAGGTACTCAAAAAGTCAGACTGTTTTTCATTCTGGATGATAGTGAAAACAATCAGGAATATGTACTTCCACAGTTTAGCTTTTGCACAATGTGCTGTCTTCAGTTGAATAGCTGTTATCAAGATTGAAGTTTTTGAATCAGAAAACGTAAGTGTAGGTATTATCATATCCATATTTATTGTAATTTGCACTACAACAATCTTCAACTTATGAATACTAGAGTTGCAAATTCACAAATATGAATGGACCTCCAGTTCATTCATAGATGTAAACAAATTGTGGAAATAGCTTATGGGTCTACTAGACATTGTCACAGTTGTGCTGCTGTGTTTACTGTATAATGTGATAGTGTACAATATAGTACAGTGCAGAGACTTACCGTATTTTTGTGGGTTTGCTTTATGCTTTACTTGTGTATTTGTGTCAAAGTCTGATTTACAAATGCAACTATTTTGTAAGTCAGAAACTTACTTATTGTTTATGACCTTAAAGTGATACTATGTAAAGAAACAATAATGAAGGTATAGATCTCATTGTTAAAATCTATCTACTATGAGTTGATGTTAAACTTCATGTATACAAAGGTGATGTGTCCACTTCAGTACTATTAGAATGTATTTTATAAACATTGGCACACTGTGGAAGTTCCTTTGTTACACATGATATAGTTCTCAAAGGGACATTTGAAAATATATTTACAAAATACAATTTTGAAAGTGCACTATTTTCACATAAAAAAATAGAATTTTGCAGTTGTAAATGGCTTTTTCCAGGCACCTATATACACTCTGTCATTGCACAGATACATTTTACAGATCTTCAACTGCCAAAGCTCTTATGCAGAATGGTAGAAATGACAAATGAGGCCATGTGTTAAGCAAATGGAGGTGTCATCTGATATATCTTGAAAGTGTTGCAGATCCTCTCAAATGTAAATACAGAAGTGCTTTGTGAATTATGGAGTACAGTAGAACTCACATAATGTTTGGTAGCCCAATATCACCACTCAAGATCTAAGAAGCTCCCATTGTTTATTCTTCGATCCAATGCTCCCAAGGCTTCTTAAATTCTGGAATGAAAATCTATAACATGACTCACACACACCTTCCAAGGATCTAGTTGCACAAAATAGGAGAATGTCAGTGGCAGGGAACTTTTCTGTATTTTCTCATCCTGACCTAAAAGTCAAATATTGTCTTTTTCCAGCATACACAAAATTGCACATTGACAATGCAGTTGTTTTCAAGGTGTGACATAGTTTCTCTTCCTTTCTCCTTTATAGGTCTTTTCACACAAAGCTATTTTCTTGTCATCCTACTTATAATGAACTGATAGTAACCTTTAAAAACTAAAAGGTTCATATTTTAAATGCTTTATAAAGTATTAGATATTATGATGGATCAGTGGCCAAGAAAAGAAAAATTTATCTCATTCTTTTGTGGAACAAATACATTTGGCTTTAATGTCCAAAACAGAAAAGAAAATTCACAGAGGACATGAATAAATAATTGACAGTATAAGAAGAAATTACTGTAATTATTTATATAGAATATTTTGTGGAAGTTCAGAAAACCAGAAGTTGTTTAAAGCTAACAGGTTATTACTATGAATATAAGAACTGAACATTGATAGAAATGCAATATACATGGAATCATATAATCAATTGAATTTTATTGCTCAATCATAATCAAATTTCTAAATAGCAAGATTACAGAAATGTTCCATAAAAGTTATTATGAAGAGTGGCAGTATTAATATTGTTATGCTTGCAAAGATAATGTGCAAAAATGATGAAGTTCTACATTGTACTCATGCTATCTGTGGCTTCAATTTCTATTTTGAAAAATGTTAAATAATTTGATATGCCTGTGGTTTTAAAGCATTATGTTTGACCTATACTATTTGTGTATCCTTTGTGTACATTTTGTTTTTAACTGAAAAGTCACAGTTGTGAGCATTTTAGCTGTAATATATATGTATATATGTATGTACATATATATGTATATATGTATATTTCATATATATATATAAATATATATATATGAAAAGTCCACACCAATTGCATCTTCCTTATTTAGAGGTAAAATTTAAGGATCATTAATCTTATAACGAACTCTCTCATAGTCTCAAGTGCTCATATGATTATAAAGCTTTGAAATGATATGGCACCTTTCTTCCAAATGTTAAAGAAATAAGGTAAAAATATGGAGAAATCTTGTATTGCCTAGGCATCTACTGAATTTAATTAAAAATTCATTACCTCCTTTTAGTTGAAATTTTCATTTTATAATTTTTATGAGAAAATGTATATCAGAATGTTTGCGAGTTAGAGAATAATGTATTTCCAAAAAGAATGTGTGTGCTTGCTTAAAAATGTCAGTCATCTGACATAAAGAAGCTCACTCACAACAGGTTAAGTAGTATTTTGGAATGCTGTAAACTAAATGAAACAATCTACCAAAACACACAGTACTTTGTACTCTTTATGCACATAATGTAGCATGAAATCATGATGCTTTTAAAATATTCTGTGCAGAAATATTTATTTTTTAGCAAATATTTTCTTCAAAGATTGTTATGTGGTATTGACAGTGTAATCTACTTGCACATCTAGTTTTGCAATAACATACAAATAACTGTAAATAAGTAAAATGTAAATTTCATGTACAAATGGTTGCAAATTTTTGGTAGCTAAAAGTGTACAAGTTGTATTGAAAATATACTATATATAATTTAAAAATGAATCATATACTTTATGATCTATTTATACATGAAAAATTCAATAATTTGTAAAAGAAATTATTTTGGGGAAAAAGAAAGTAAATATCATTAGCTAGGATACTTTTACTAGAGAAGCCAACTATTTCCAACACTTTATTAGGCACAGTATTAGATATAAGCATGGTGGTGCTGACGTATTTTACAAAATCACATAATTGTAACAGTGCTAAAATTTTACTGAGTTCCACAGGGACACTAGTAAGTCAGACTGCATAGTAAGAAGAATCTAATCTGAAATGAGAGAAATTTAAAAGCACTTTAGTTACTGCCCCTCAAGACCGCAGTAGTAATTGGCTAAAACATTTATGTTTACATAGAATTTTTGATGTCTAAACAGGCCTTATGTGTAACATAACTTTTTCATAGTGAGGATGAATGTATGCAAATAATATTTTTTAAGTTTAATATGTTCTTAATATCTCCACTAGTTGCTTCTCTATTATAAAGCAAAAATCCAATGATCTTCAAAAAATGAACCTTGTAAATAAAGTTTGCTGGCCTTTATGAGGCATATAATAAGCTAAGGACAGTTTATTTTTTTATTTAAAATTCCCCAGTTTATTTCTAATATTAAAAAAACCACAGCAGAACATTTCCCTATGTGATACATGAAAAAAAGAAAGCAAATACAGAAAGCAGAAAATACTCAATTTTATAACTGAATGAAACTGATGAAAAAATGAGAATCTAACTATAAAAGGGCCAAATAGTTTTAAATTATCCATCAGAGAAATTATTTCCTAGAATGGAATAAATTATATCCTATAATGGAATAAATTATTTAGATAGCTGGGAAAAATTAAATATGTGCTTAAACGTTTAATAAATCCTAAGACCATTTTCAAGCGGCCCACAATTTTGAAAAAAAAACATGGTTCTTCAGTTCCATAAACATTCATACTAGCACTGTTCAGGTCATCCTTTGAAACTTCAGTAGTCATAGCAGAACAAAATGTGATTAGCTCGTAGCCAACTAGAATGCAGATGATTGTGTGCATGGCCTGTACATACTCATATTTTTATTCTTAAGGGAAAAGGTGGAGTTTCCCCACACATATCAGAACTGGAAACTAAAAACTCATGGCATACATATCACAGAAAAGTAGTTATTAAACGATGACTTCTTTCTTCATACCCATAAGCTTTCCAAATTGTCACCATATCTTGATGTTACAGAATGGGTACACTTGAAAACATATATAGCACATAGGAAAATCCTATGCATTTTCCAGCCGTATGCTAATTCAGTGATGGTACTCAGAAACAGAGAGGAAAATCTGAGTTTTGAATGCTCGCAAATAAAAACACAAAACAGTATATTACCACACTACTTGGAAAAAAAAGAAATATTAAATATATAAGGCTCTTTCTTTACATGACAGAAAAATAACGTTTAACAACAAGTAGAAAGAAATATGGCAGGAAACAAAAGCACAGATTTTTCAGCACTTAAGATAATGAACTGATAGCAAGAAAGACATTTCCTAATTTTTTCAGTGTTCTGCTGGCAAGTAGTTTTATGCTAAGTATTTTAAAATACAAGAAATTTTAAATTTTAAATTTGCATGTGATGTTTTAGTGTTACTCTTACCATAAAGTGTCAAAAATATTCATTTAAAATCTTGTCTATTTTCATCACTAACAGGAAGTTCTAGACATTTTCATTTGTATCATCTAATATTGCATATACACCTAAGTATATTCATAGATGATACCTGAGCATTATGCACTGATTCAAGTGATTAATTCACTATTCAATGATTACATTGAGACAAAAGTGAGGTTTTTTTAAATGAAAGTTTCCAAGTAATAAAACATTCATGGTTGTATTTTAAAGTTTAAGGGAAAGAATATGAAAAAGTCTTGCATTTTATTCAACTGACTTAATTTACCAGATTTTAATAAATTTATCCCCAAATTTGCCAGAAAATTATTAAAAATAAAAAAGAAAACATACCATGTATGAATGAAAGGACAAAGAAAAGCACATTTTCAACAAATAATGTTTATTTTGGTTGTGCAATTTAGTAATGTTATAAGATTGCAAGTGAACTTGATATGTGTATTTGAATTAAAGAAATAATCTCAAATTGAGTTTTTGTTATTTTTTCAATTGCACAGAGTTTAAAATACAATAAATTCTACTTTCTTCCAGGGTAAATGATTTTTTTTCAGAAATTTATATAAAACTTCACTGCATTCTTTGTTACTTTTTTTCTTCCTGGATGCATGCTTATATTGATTAAATAAGCACAGTCCCTGAAATTACATTTAAAGTGGATCAAATTAATATTCTTATAATAATGACTTCCCCTTTATGTAATTCAAAGTATATAAGCTACCACTCAAAATAGAAGCGCAATAATTCATGGCAGTCTTTTAGATATAGGTGAATTAATGCACTGTTGTTTAGACTGAAGCATCTCATATCATATATGTAATGAATTTTGTATTATATAAAACTTTACAGCAAGCTATTTGAATGTTTATTTAAAATTCTCAAAATGACATGGAAACATGTTTATTGTATAAATAAAAGCACTTATACATTGAGAGTGTATATTAATATTTTACATCATCAAAAGCAACTGGGGTATGAGTTCAACAGTACAAACTATCAACTATATCCATATTGCAGTTGTGTTCATCATAAAACTATTTTATCTTTACCTTAGTAAAAGCTATCTGCTTACAGTAATTATTTTTAAAACATCAAAAAAATAAATTGCATTTTAGTATAAACATCCTGGATATTAAATTTTAGTATAAACTTCCTGAATATTCTCTATGCCTAATGTGTTTATAAGACTATTCATTTAATTCCAGTGCAAAAGAATGCCTGATAATGCAATTCAGTCATTCCAGAACAGCCTTCCAGAAAAAGGACTTCTATGACTGAAGAGTTTGGAACAAACTTGGTCAAATAAAATGAGACAAGACTATATGCATGTTAGGCTTTCACATACTAACATTACCAAGCTCTCTGGGAAGATGAGACTTTCTAAGTATGTTTGGCCATGGAAGCTTCTGCACAGAGCTCTTAACATCCAACACCACAGGAAAGGCTTTAAGAAAGGATAAATTTGGGATTGTGTAAAGATTTCTAACACAAAGGGCTATGTTGTAGGAATTTTTATGAATAATATGATATTTAAAGTTTTACATAAACTATGATCATTCAAGTGAGGAAGATAATCATAATGTACCTCACAGCATTACAGTGAGTCGGAAATCTATCACCTGGTAAGGTGACTGATTATATCATTACTGTTACTCAACACAAGGACATATAGAGTTTGCACTACATAGTTGCTTTTTTTCCCCTACATTTCTGCTTAGAATTCTACACACTTTATATGGCTCAGTTAATGTCTTCTTACAAGTGCATGAAAAAATATAATAACCAAAGGACCAAAACCTGAATTATTGGCTCATTCATGAAAAACTGACCAAGTGAATCTGACAGCAAAATATAAATTATACAAAAAAAATCTGTGTCAAAATGATTATACATTATTTCCACCTCAAGATTTTTACAAATATGTAAAATCTGATTTAAAATTTTGTCTATTCAGGGAGTTCTTTTTCCAAAAATAATACCATGTATCTTCCAACTTAAAAATCAATATATTATTCTGCTTGCCAGATAGACTAAAATTATGTCAATTTATATTTGCTTTCCAGGCTGGAAGATACTCCGTTCAAGAGTAAAAATAAAACATGATTTATTAAATCTTCATTAAAAATGACAGGCTGTTTGCCAAAAAAGAAATTACATAAGGCCAACTTATATAGGGATAAAAATGCTAAGAACTTGGCAAAACCCCTTTGTGATTTTTGTTGTAAAACTACCCAGACATGTTGCTGGGAGTCTCCTAAACTCAACAGCCTACATTACATAGATATAATGAAAACATATTGATTTACAAATACAAAAAAAGAAAAAGAAGAAGAATTTAACTAATGCTGTTAAATAACCTAAATTTGTCATTTCTGAACATTTAAAAAGAATGGTAGATTACTTAATTTTTCTACTGTTATATAAACTTAGTTTATAGAACAGGTAAATGTTGACAATTAATTAAGAATATGTGTTTCCTAAAAAAAAAAAAAAAAAAAAAATCTGTATTTAGAAAAAGATGTCATTTCGGGTTATCTATAGTTTCACCATTAAAATAAAGTACAAAGAAAAAAAGCTATATTTCAAAACTGTTTTTTTCTACATAAGACAATCAAATATATTGAAGAAACATATTTGCACTGAAAATAACATAAAAGGAAAACCAGTAACTCCTGTACTCTTACCTCACTATAAATTCAAATTTCGATCAGCTTTTAGGAACTACAATCTGCTTACTCCCAAAGTTCCACCAGGATACATCCTCATCTATGTGATCAACGAATAACCCTGTTACAAAATGGCACAAAATTCACACTTCCTTTTCCCCCTACTCTCAAATATCCACAATATAAAGAAAATTCAAATTATAATATACAGTTTTGAGATAAGTGTAAGTAAGTTTTCTCTAGATTTTTCTTTTTTTCGCTCGTTATACAATATATCACGTTAGCATGCTTCTCTTAGTTAGGCCTTTATTGTTAAAAATTAAGTCTAAGAATTATTGACCTAATTTAATTATTTATCAACTTTTTATAATAGTATTCAGATATTTGTAGTTATAATTTTTCCAAAAGCAGTAATATCCCAAGTAAGAAAACATAACATTTTCTGCTTTGAATTATGCATTAAAATCAAAACACACAGAAGAGATTTAATAGCCAGAAACATGGTAAGTCCCCACAGGTTTTAATTTAAGTTGGTCCACTTCATTTCTTTCAAGCAAAAGGATTCACAGTATTTCTTCACCTTTCAAATCCTAGGCATTCATATTGTCATAGTGCCCTGCAAAAACTAACACATAAAAAAGTTATCATCTGGCAAAAATAAGACTTTTTTAACTGTTCAGGGCTAATTATATTGCATTAGAACTTTTGCATAAAAAAGGAAACTTCAAGAGACTTAGGGCTTATAATTAAAACCAATATACACTAGTCAAGTACTTTTGATCCTATAACTCACATCAGTAAGAACAAAAATAAAAGCAAACAAGAATGTTTGTAAATGTAAAAACATTGTAAATCTATGTAAATCTTTGTAAAAACATATGCAAAATACTACTTCCTATAGTTTCAATTAAAAAGAAAACTGGAATTAGGTTCATAGAAACCATTTGAAATGAGAAATGAGCAATTTCATAATTTGGTATACAGTAAAAGACCCTGCTTTAGAAATATTACTATAAGTAAGCTGCTCAGCATAAAAAATGATAATGTTTATCCTTAAAATAACCTGGAAGGCAAACTGCCAAAATATCATAAAAGAGCCTTTTTGTATATAACAGAAAGTAAAACTGGTATTTAAGCCATTATTCAATCTTCTATTTGAGTTCCCCTGAAAAAACACAGAAAAGAGTATGCTCTATTAACTATATGATTTCTTCCCAAGCTTCGTGCCTGTAATTCCAGCACTCTAGGAAGCTGAAATGGAAAGACTGTAAATCCAATCCCAGCCTGGGGAACCAGATGAATTAGTGAGACCATGGCTCAAAATAAAGAATTTTAGAAAGGGTTAGGTATGTAACCCAGTGTGACAGTCGTGGGTACAGCAAAAATAAGTAAATAAACAACAACAGTGTTTGTATATCAGATCACTGAACTTTCAGATACCTAAGAACACTTTGACAACACAGTATAAATATCAAAAGGTTAAGCAAAATACTCACATCGTCATATGTGAAATTCACACAGCCTTGTTGCAAGTGATCTCTTCTCCTAAAGAAATCTTTCCACCAAGAAATAACATTTTAAAACTATAATTTGACATTTATAAATTCAAATACTTAATATCTCTAAGTACAGAGACTGAAGAATTTCATATTTAATTAAATATTAAGAAAACTTTTAAAGAGAAAAATAACAAAACAGCTTCAGCACAAGTCAATAGGAGAGTTACAATAAGTAATACATTGCATATTGTTGTCTTTATACTAGCTATTTAAATACAAAATACAGGCACGACATCTTCTCCAAATAATATTAGCACAAACCTTTCTTTCAATGAACTAAAAGAAACTAGCCGTATAACTATCATAACTATCTTGGATATGCATATTTTTCCCTTTCATCCTTTCCCCTTCCCCCCATCATAGTTTGTCTTTTCTTTTGTACAGTTTATCCCCAATTCACAATATCTGTTGTATATTTTGGATCTTTTTTACTCATTCAATCTCTTACATTAGTGAGATACTATGATGTTTATACCTATGGGTCTCATTTATTTCACTTATGAGTATGGTCTCGAATTATATTCATCTACTTATAAAAGTCTCCAGTTTATCCTTCTGTATGGCTGAGTAGTACTCCATTATTTAAAAAAAAACAACCATACATATTTTTTGCCCATTTCTTGGACAATGAACATTTGGGTTGTTTTCAAGATTCAGCTATTACACACTGTGTTGCTATAAATGTAGGTGCACATATATGTCTGTGGTGTGATGCTTTAAATTCTTCCAGGAAGATACCCAAAAGGGGAATAACTGGGTTGAAATGGAACCTCTAATCCTAGTTCTTTTAAGGAATCTCTACACTAGGAATTTGACATAAAAATAAATCAAGCATATACAATTTCAAATAGCCATGACCAAAATAAATCTATACCAAGACACACAATAATCAACATTCCAGAAATTCAGCATAAGAACAAAATATTAAAAGCAGTTAGACAAAAGAACCGTATTACCTATAAAGAAAAGCCCATCAGAATCATAGCAGACTTCTCAACACAAACCCTCAAATCAAGGAGAGTTTGAAGTGAGATATTTGAAGTCCTAAAGGAAAACAATCTTCAACCCAGACTGATATACCTTCCAAAACTATCTTTTAAATTGGATGGAGAATTAAAAGATTTATTATCCCAGGCAACTTAATTATGAAGAAAAGCTTTTACAACCTGGATGTCATATTTTTCCCTACTTATATTCATTAATTTTAAAGCTTTAAAACATTGACTAGGTTTAATAGTGAATAAAGGGAAAAACATATTATGATATACTTTCTGTAGGAAAAGAGAGACAGTATACAACAAAAACAGCCATACAATACTGAACCCCTATTTTATTTTTGGTACGAGGATCAAACTCATGACCGTGTGCTTGCAAGGCAGGTGATTATGCCACTGAACTAAATCCCAGGCCCTCTGAACCCATTTTAAAAGGTTAATACCTGTCAATGCTCGAAGCTTCACGCAGCAAGCAACATAATCATCAAAGAAAATTCTGCCATTCTTGCTATAACGTTTAACAATAGCATTTACTGTTTGGGGATTCAGTCTATAACCTAAGGAAAAAAGATTAATAATTTTTTTTAAAATACCATGAAAACACTGCAAGTTAACTTTTTGATTAGTGAGATCAGAAAATAAATTAACTTCCATAATTTATCTCACAAAAATAATGCTTTAGAGATAAAATACGTTGATATTAAGACTGACCAAATTAAATCTTATTTAGCATTTCATGAACAACACAATTCTAACTTTCTAATAAAGTCAAAGGGAAGAAGAAATATGTATTATCTTCTTGGGTTTTTAAAATAATTTTGATTTTGAAATAATGTCTAGGGATATTTCATAGATTTTATAGACTATTTCACAGGGACAATGCTCTACTACTTCCACTCTGTAACTTCTTAAGTATTTATGCATTCACTTAGTTCTCTTTAATTCATCTGCTACATAGCATTGGGGACTGAGAGTCTCTGTACCCAGCTACACCCTGAGTTCTTTATATTGTGAGGCAGTCACTTATGAGTCCAGGCTGGGCTCCTGCACCCCTAAAGCGCTGGGATTGCAAGACTGCATCCCCAAACCCAGTTTACAGTTCTCAAAGCCTATCAAAGGAAAGATTATTAATGATCTTAACTATTATTCAAATCCTGTATTTGCCACTGAAAGTGTCTTTTATACCTAAAGAAAATGTGAGGATAAGCATGGTTACTCAGAAATAGAAGAAATAAGAAAATGCTATTCCTGCTTATCCTATAGCCTTTTATTGTATTTCTTCACATATTTTAGGGAGGGCTCTTTCTTCCAGTCTTCTTGTCTCTAAAATTATTTGATTGTAAATTCTTATCCATAACACAAATTTTTTAATATACTTGTTTAAATTAGCTTTAAATATATACATATTACAGTTTGAAAACTTATACTTTAAAATATACATAAAAACTGAAATTTAAAAAGAATATAATACTTATAAAAAGAAATAACAATTAATGTGCTCTACTTGTTATATCGCTAGGATCCATTTAGTGAGATGTGTACATAGCTAAATATTATTTTCAGTATATTGATGGATAGGGACATGTAAAAAAATAATACTCATCCTTCCAAAGGTTAAAAAAAAACTGAAAATAAATGTAAGAAAAGAAATAAAATGTGAAACAGGAAAATTGCTAAAAGTAAAGTAAAAAATGTAAATTTAAATGAGTAACAATATATAAAATATTACCCGAAAAGGCAACTGGTTTCCCATTAGAGTTACAATCTGAATGTGGTAATAATATGTCTATAATTTTCCTTTAGTATTCTCAGCAAGATAATTTGAATATTTTATACCATATCTGAATATGGCAAATTTTAATAATTCAGAATTCCTCTTCATTCACTTATGTGAATTCTTTAGAATATTTCTTTTTTTCTAAGACTGTATTAATTTTTCACCTTACACTGAATTAAAGATAAGTTTGGAGCTAAAACTGATCTATGCATGTTTGTATGGCCAGGACAATCCCTAACTCTTAAATTCAAATATTTGCCTATAAAACAAAACAAAACAATTGTTTGAGTGCCTTAACAACAGTTTGAGTGCCTTAAATTGTAATTTGAGATAATTTTATATGTATAGTAAATTTCAATTTTAATTTTTAAAACATTAATTTTTATACAAATTTTTTAAGACACAAGTAAATAAAACTACAATCATAAAAACAATTAACAAGGCTACTTAAAGCTACATTAACTATAAGCAACTTACACATCACTGTATATTATAATTTTAGAAATTAGAGTAAGAAGGTCAGTTTATCAAATATAAATGAAAATAAACTCATATTTTTTAAAATGCAATATCCTAGGACCTTGTATGTGTACCATGTAAGAAAACAAAGGAAGAAAATAAATGCTTTTTGCTCTTGATTACAGACTATAGGCTAATGCAGAGATTTGTCATTGATTCAGAAAAGCCAAATCAAAATCAATTAAAATATACTTAGAGGAAATTCAGAATGTATCCATGTATTCATCTTTTGAAAAGTAATTTTATAAAAGTCTTTATTCAGAATTTACTTACAAATTTGCACCTAAACTAACTAAATTGCTTGTAAAAAGATTATATATAATCGTTATTACTTAGCCAACTGAAGCAATGAAGATTCTTTAGCTTTATAGATTCTTTTAAAATGTAGCTTTCTTACCCATGGTAGCAAAGGCTTGACTCAATTCATGATGCTCCACTGAGCCACTTCGGTCTTGATCAATGGTCATAAAGTTCTGCTTCCAGGCACTAAGAGCTGCCCAAAGATCCTTGAATTCCTTAAATCCCATTTTTCCTGTATAATCTCTCTGATAGTTTTATTAACAAAAATAAAGTTCTCGTATATTGGAGGATTTACCTGACCCAAAATTCCAAATCAATGATTGAAAAATATGCTTCTTCAGAATAGCTTAATTCACCACATGAATATATTTCCACATAACCATGTAACTGTCAAGACTTCAAACAGGATCTCACAAAGTATTTCTCAACCTTCTTTATTACATTATAGGCACTTATAAGTAGCAACCGGCTTGATATTCAGAGTATTAAGTCTATAGTCTAGCAGTTTCTAATTTATTAAAGGATACATCCAACATGGCAATCATAATTCTGCAAGTTTCCAAGCTGAAGGCTGCAAAAACATATTCAATATTTGATTTAAAATCTTTTAAGTTTTATTTATGTAAAATGATAAAAACATCTCTACTTCTGATACAAAACATTTAATAGTTGTCAAAAATTCACAACCACTATAATCAAAAAACTTTCATAAATTTTAAACATTTATACTAAGAAAAAAAACGAATCCCCAAAATACTGTTTTCAAACCATTTATATCTAGTAATGGAATTAAAATAATTAAAGAAGTAAATATAAAATAACTCAAAATTACTGATAGATATGTGTTATGGTTGATATACTGTGTCAAATTGAGATGTTTAGAAATTTAAGAGACTCAGTAAGGATCTGTACTTTGTAAATATCCTCATTCTGTGCAAGAGGAGGGCACAAGATATTTTGTGATTGCTACACTCTCCTTGGGGCAAGGAATGGTGACGTGCTTAGAGTATAAGGGAAGAAAAGATGTTCTACCCCCTTTCTGCCCTCATTTCTTTGCTGTCTTCTGCCCCGTTGAAGTGCTGCCCCTGTGCCAAGCCACTCTGCGTTGGAGCCAGCTGATTATGGACTGAAACTCCACAAGCTGTTAGCCTAATAAACCTTTCTTTCCTTCATTTTTAGTGTCAGGTATTTTGTCTCAGCAACAAGAGAAAGGTAACTAAGACAATGTATTTGAAGTGTTTAAAAGCACGTGGCTTTGCCTGGAGCCCATAAAGAAAGGCCTTCAGTTTTCATATCACAAATTGATAGGTGAGGTTTAAGTAGGTTTGATAGGCAATCAAATAATCTTGAAGGAATCAGAGTACAAGTTAAGGAGTGGTACAAGAGGACTTCAGGAAGACAAATGGAGACAAGATTAGGAAATTTAAATACCACTAGAAAGAGTTTAGAGCACTACAGTGGAAGTGGAAGCTTACTGCAGTAGACCAAATTAAAAAAAAGATATGTCTCTAATCTGGAGCAACTGTTTTTCCTTGAAAGAGAGGAAACAAAGGAAAAATCAACATAAACTATCCTAAAGTCAAGGGTTATTAAAAGAGACAATAACACATTCATAATGATAGTAATATAATAAGCCAACTAGAAAATATTTAATTTTCTAATTATATCACAATTATATCCAACTAACAAAATGATTTATCTTAAGATTAATTACATCATAATTAATGTATATAATAAAGGAGATATTATATTATAGGTCATTTAAGCTTACAAAGTTCTTAATTATCAGTTCTTCAATATGACTGACTAAATGAATACATAGATAAATTTAAAATTAAATAATTTATATTATGATACTGGATAGTGCATTTTGAAATTTTTAAAAATAAATTATTTCTGCTAAATTTTAGATCCACTAGAAAAAATGATAAAATAGTCTACAAAGTAAGACAGCTGATTTTCTTTAAATGTTTAATATAGTGCTGGTGTAGGACTGTTGGGTGTACAGTACTATTTTCAAATTTACAGGTCAACATATAACTCACTCACTGACTACTTTAGTGTTTCCAAGAGTGCATTCCATGACAGTAAACTTGTCAAATGTGTTAGAGCCCTCATTTTACAAATGAAGAAACTGATGTTCAATAAGATAGTTTCCCAAGTTTATACAACTAATAAGAGAAATCATCACTATTGGAACTCAACATGACTTCCAAACAAAAACTCTTGATGGAGTAGTGTTACCTAAGAAATTTACGGGATAGTATTCCATCTTTTTACAAAATAATCTGTTGTACTTAAAATTTATATAGCACACAATCATGAAATGGTAAAATGTAGATGGATAATCATAAATGAAAAAATTAAATGACAGATATCTTCAATTTCACAACAGGAAAAAAAGTAAATGGAAAAAAAGAAGTATTTTTGACAAAGAAGTGCACACCCTTTCCTTACAACCCATTTGAATGAAAAGCTTACTTTTTTTTAACAAAACACAAACTTTTACAAAAAAGGAGAGTGCAAGAAGAAACAAAAGTAAAAAAGAAAATTTTGCAAGTTACAAAGTCAACAGATACAAGCTAACCTAATATTTACTCATAATGAGAAAGTCTGAAAAGGCACCTAGTTATCTTGGTCAAGACTCCAAATGTCTAAGAATTAGCAGTACTTTTGAAAATGTGTGTGAAGGTGCAGATAAAAAAAGAACTGCATGCTGTCTGTTTAAGGAGCATCTAATGTTCCCAAACATCCCATACCTCTGTTTAGGGGATGCCCAGCCCACTTACTCTCACCCAAGCAAAAGTCTGCTGTTTTATTCTTGGGAACCATCTCTGGACTATAGGATACAAGGCACATTGGTATGAGCTAGCAAAACAAGGTAACCAATTGAAATTTTACAAAAGACTGAAGAACCTCCTCTCCAGACAAATCAACTAAAAAAAACCACTCAGAAGAAAATCTCTAAAGGCATATCCAAAAATCCATAATAAAACTTTCCAGCCAAGCATATCCTGAATTAGTAGACCAACAATTGGCACTTCATAATGATATGTCTTATAGCCAGTGTTTTAGTAAAATACAAGCAACAAAATATCATCAAATAATTAAGAAAAGACATGAAAAATAATCATACAAACTGAGAAGATAAAAATAAATTTGAAATAGGAAATGTTATGTTAGAAAGAAAAAAAAAACCTATTTATTCCTTATAGAAACATTCAGGGAAAAAATATACAGAAACACAGAGTTCTTATAAACGTAACAGCATAAATGAAAGACCCAAAAGAGTTGTTAGAAAGTAAAAGATTATTTTCCAAAAGGTAGAGTGAAAAAGATTTTTAAAAAGGTAGAAAACCCAGTCCAATTCAAATAATACACACTGAAAAAAAGAGAGAGAGAAAATCACTGGAAAACACACACAAACACACACACACACACACACACACACACACACACACACACACACACACTCCCAAGAAGTATTTAGGAACGCAACTCAATATACTCTCTGAGTTCCCCCGACAAGACTACATCAAATGAAATTTCAGAACAGTAAAGGTAAAGAGAGGACATCCACAAGCTTCCAGTGTGAAAAAATCAATCACATATGGGGAAGGAAAGAGAAAGCAAACCCACGATGGAGGCTAAAAACAAGAGTGATCCTTTTAACCGTCTATATGAAAATGGTTTCTATTTGAGCAACTATTTCCAAGATGATAATATGTAATCTATTAACAGGTGATTTCTTACTGTTATGCTTTTTTTTTGTAGTTCTGTATTATATGTAACCTTACACTGAAAAAAAAAAAAAAAAAAAAAGAAAATGGTTTCTAACCTAGAACTTTCTACCTGCTCAAACAATTCTGAAGGTAGAATGAAAACAATCCTAGGTACACAAGGGCTCAAAAATTTGCCTCCTGTGTTCTCTCTTAGCTAGAAGCTTTCTAAAGCTATAGTATTTCACTGAAATAAGAGACTGAACCTTTTCAGAAGAAAGAATGCAATAGCTTGGAGTAGTGACACCAGCCTTTAAACTAGTACCCAGAGAGGCTAAAGAAGTTTGAGCCCTGCAATTAGAAAGGTACGTTAGAAAGGGCAATTTAGAAAGACCACATCTCAAGTGAAATAAAAGACATAGAGAACAGTGTTCTCCCAGACTTGATGCCCAACAGCAAAAAATAAAAGATAAACAGAAAACAGCCAATGTAACAGAAAGCAGAAAGACAGCTCCAGAGAGAGGAAAGAAAAGTCCAGAAAGATGATAAAGAAAACCACTATGACCGATGTGCACAGAAAAGAGAGCAGAGTAGAAAGCCCCACTCTGATGAGAAAGAGTCTCACAGCTATTAATGTGAAGCAAAGTGAAAAGTTAGATAAAGAAGAAAAGTATTCATACATTATCACAAGATAGTGATGTGAACAGGATGTAAATAGGAAAAATAAGGTAAATGTTGATTATTGACCTAATGATGTTATTATATAGCTGCATTGGAAGGATGGGAAAATGCAAAGATTCCTGTGTGGAGATCAAGGATAAAGAGACTTTAAGATTAAAAGAGAGTTAAATTCTCATTCCAGAGGATGACATGAACTGATAATCATTAAACTGAGACTATAATATTGTTAAAGGTCAAGTATTTTGATATCTAGAAGAAAATTTCATAAAAGTCATCTAAAACAAATTGAAAGAGGTCTCTTTTATGACAGGTTAGTGTTGGGAAGCCAGGAACGTATGCTGAAGTTATTTGCATAACAAGTTCTGCAAAACTGACATAGATTCCAGAGGGCTCTAATTCCTCCACCAAGGTGATCTGTGATGTAAGAGATCTTGAGGAGATGGATCTACCACTGTCCAGGTTCAGGAGCTTCTGATTCCTCCTCCAAGGTTTCCAGCAACCTTGGAAGGCTCCCTATTCCTGAACTTGACCAGTACGCTCAGTATGTCACTTGGGTGGCAGTAGAGAGCAACTCCACCTGCTTTTGCTACCTGAGCATAAATGGAGACAATCCACTCAAGCAGATCTCCATTTCAAGTGCAATATGTAAAGAACTGACAAGATATGTGCAGAAATTCTGCAATCTTGTGCAACAATGGATTGTGCATCTACACAAGTCTATCATTTTTGCCTATAAAGCTTTACTCTTCCCATCATTGGAAAGCAAGACCGAGAACCAATCCCATGTGCCCCCTTTCATATGCCCAAACAATGCCTCAGCAAAACCCTGCTGAGTTGGTACTGCTTGCCTCTTCATGATTCCCACCTCAAATTTAGCAAAAGAATCCAAGGCTGAACTGGTAACACTAAGAGGTAGTAACACTACAAGCTATTAACACCAAGAGTTGGCAACAGAACTGTTTGAGTCTTTAAATTACACTGTATGAAATTTTTAAAAAATTTCAAGTATGGGGAAAATTAGATAATGAAGATCTCACGAGAATAAGTTCCACTGATTCCAGACTGTGTCAAACATCTTTGCAGTTCTTCAGCATCCACTTCACCATCCTGTTAAAAAACAACATGTTTTCATGTGCAGCTGCACAAAAGCATATTGAGATGTTAACTGAATGCTCTAGGCTAATCAACAAATATGCAATTTTCAAAGCATTAACTACAAAATTCTACAGGTAATTATTGACAGGAAAGAAATATTACAAACATGCTGTGATGAATCATTACCTTCACTTCAGAAAAACAGCACTATCATTCTGTCCTAGAATACTTCACAGTAATATGTGAGAGCCATTGTTTTCTATTTAAAATAAAACATACCTGAAGTGTAGGCATAGCACTCTCAAAAACTTTCCAATTTTTGCTCATTTTGAAAAGAGGGATTATTCCTAAGAAAAAACTTCACTTTGAAGCGTTTACTGAAAAGGGAAATATTTTTTTCTTTCTTATCATTACTTCTACCAAATTTTTTAGAGTCCCTCCCTATTTTATTGCTGTTTTTAGATGATTGTCCAAACATTATTGGTTGAATTTATTGGATACAAATGTTTTTACATGAAAACAAGAAATGACAAATGAAACAGGTTGAGTATTCTTATTATGTTCAGTACCTCATTGAATTTTCTACACAAATACAATGTAAAGTAGTTCATTTGGAAGCATACATTAGAACAAATGCAACACAACAGCTATACAGAAAATTAAGGAGGCAAATTTAAAATATTATTCCACAAGAACTAAGAAACAAACAAAAACTATTATGAACTATTGATACTAAAAGCAATTCTGGTGGTTCTAACAGAAATAAAAGAAAATATTGAGATATATTCTTCTAAATGTTCCTTTCATTGTCATACATATGTTGAGGGCTCTTACTAAATTTTAAATTCTATAACTACAAAATCATATTTTAGAAAAATTATATTTTTCAGAGCATTGTGGCACATGCCTTAATTGTGGCCCTTGGGAGGCTGAGGCAGGAGGATCCTGTGAGTTTGCGGCTAGCCCGTGCTACACTGATGCTTTTGCTGGAAGAGAAAAGTATCTTTTTCTCCTCTTCACCATTACTTCTAGCAAATTTTTGGAGTTCCTACATATTTTGTTGCTGTTCTTCAGATTATTATCCAAACACTCTTATGTTTAACAATTTATTGGAAAAATTAACTATATTTTTCCAAGATGGTGCATGTTTGTAATTCCAGCACTTGTGATGCTGAGACAAGAGAATCATTGTCAGTTCAAGACCAGCCTGAGCTATATGAGACCTTGTCTCAAAACAAAGCCACAAATAGTAGACAATTTTTCTTCAAAGTAAAACAACTGTACAAGGCTTTTTGGCATATTTATTTAACTACCAATCATCGGTCTTCATTTTTAACTACTACAGCAACTGTTACAAACCATTATTGTATTTCAAGACTTCTAAAAAGCAGGAATTCATGTTTGTATTCTAAACAGAAATCAACAGGAAAACATTAATTATGAGAGCTGTCATCTTTAATACCATCTCAAGGAGATGATGAAAATAAACACTGGATTTCCAGATACTGCACCCATACATGTTAAAAGACCTAAAAACTATTAAAACAGAAGCAAAGGTAGTAAATGACTTTTTTCCTTTTTTGATTTTAAAAAATCTACTACACTAAAATTAACAGTTACAAGTTTTCTTCTTAAACTCTTTTTAGGTGAGAAAATGCTATTCTCCTTAAGGATTAAATTAATGTGAACCATTCATTCTCATTTATTTTATTCCCCACTTAATGTATTGTATAGACAATATAAATCATTTAAATAAAACGTAGAAGACATAAACTTAAAATTTTCCAGAAAAAAATTGAATTGCTGAAATTGCTAGAAATTCCAATTAAAATGAAGAGAACTAAATTTTGCAGTCTGATGATATTTTTTTGCTCAAGTATTAGGCTCTTCTGTAACATTTCACACAAAGGTCTAACAAGCCTCCTTATTCAAGGCTACTCCTCTAAATTCTAATCTAGACAGAAAAGAAGGAAACTTGAAAGGCGTTATGATTCTTTTATGCAAAAAAAAAAATTTTTACAAAAAAAATTTTTTTTAAAAACATAGTCATCATAAAAGTTTTGTAAGATGAGGATGTAGCAAGTCAGCCAGTGTTTCACCACAGTGGCACACATCTCCAATCCCAGCTACTCCGGAAGCTGAGGTGGGAGATCAGTTGAGCTCCAGAGCTGGAGACCCACCTGGACAATGTAGTATGTATACATACATATATATGAAATTCCATCTCTAAAATGTGTTTAGGCACATTATGTAGAAATAAAATTAGGAAGTAAAGGGAGACAGCATTTGCATGGGGAACAAGTATTTGCCCCAGATGACCTCACATTTTACTGGGATGATTTTCACACCGGTTTGGTTCGGTTCGGTTCGGTTCGGTTCGGTTTTCCTAGTGGTACTAGGGATTGAACCTAGGATCTTCCATTGCATTGAGCCGCACCCCTTTCTTAATTTTATTTTTATTTTGAGATAGGGTCTTGCTAAATTGCTAAAGTTGCCAGGCTAAACTCAAACTTACAATCCACCTGCCCCAGTCTTCCAGAGTTCTGGAATTACACACATGTGCCACCATGCCCGGTTATCACACTGCTTTTAAATAACCCTCATTTGTAAGTAGATTGGATTTCTAAAAATGTTTTAGACTACATATAGGCAGTAGTTGCATAAGATTTCAATGGATCTAAAAACTAACCATCTAGCACAATAATTTGAATAACTTTCAGATGTTCATGTGTTAAAGGCTTGCCCCTCAGGAGGGCCTGGGACCTAGTAGGAGATCTGTAGGCCTCTGGGGGCAGATCTTCAAAGATGACTGTGGGACTCAGTCCCCAATTCATAGCAATTAAATCTCAACCCGCGTTCCAGTGGGGACAAGTAACCTTAGAACCATAGCAGAAAGAATGCTACATACAGACAAATCAGATTTCCTCACTTTGCAAATTTGTTTCTCTTTTACTTAAATAAACATATGCCAGTAGAAATAGTTATGACTGCCCTCATCTCTAAACTCAAGAAAAATTTGATACAGATGTTTAAAGTACAAATTTCAAATATATTTTATACATTAAGTAAAATAGTTGACATTTTTAAAGTAGCAACCATTTTAATAAACTAATATGTGTGCAGTAATTTTATCATCTCACCTGACCAGCAACAGCAGTGAAGTAAGACCACATGGAGTCATCGGCTGCAGAATAGCTGCCTGGATACGGTGTATACCCCGGCTGATACCCACCAGCGAACATGTTTGGACCTGTTCCTGGTATCTGACCACTAAAATTTCCAAACTATAAGAGTAAAAGAGGAAAATATTAATAATATCAAAGTTACCTACTAAAGTTCATTTAATAGAAAATGCTTATTAGTCTATTAAAAATAAAGCATAAATATCATAAAAGCTGTAAAATATTGGACAGCCTATAATGAGACCAACTTCTTTAACATATTATCCAGGATTAAAAGAAACATAAGTCTCTAGCCAATAACAACTTAATTTAACAGAAAAATATATAGGTTTTAAAAGTTTTTACCATAATCATGTTTTTTTTTCTTTTCACTTTGAGACTTAGTAAATATTTTTAATACCTTACAAAACCATTTTCCTCAGCATTTTATGAATTCAGAGGAGAAAGAGGTATTTTTAGATTATTCCATTTTGAACAGAAATTTTAACCTGAATCATAGAAAAATGATCAGATTGTCAGGAGATGGCAAGAGAAAAGAAATACAACTATGGAGAATGACAAAACAATATGGAACAGAAGGGATTTGAATAGCTATAAGTATAGGTGGAAAGGACAAAGAGAGGAAATACTGGATCTCTAGAAGGCAGACAAAGTGGAGTATGAAACAATGAAATACAAGACAGAAAACAGGAAATATTAAACACAATATATTGAGTCCCAAATATAACTTTTCAAAAAAAAAAGACTGACTGGAACAAGGCAAACCAGTTTCAGAAATAAAAAATAAGAGATATATAACATCATATAACTTGAAAAAATATATTATATATATATATATATATAGAGAGAGAGAGAGAAAGAGAGATCCTATGAACATCTTTACATCAACATATTTGAAAAAATGAGACTTAACACAATTATATAAATTATAAAAAAAATATTCATGGGTAAAATCTTTGCTATTTCTAACAATTTCACAACTAGAATAATTTGATACACCTTACTACTGAAAAGAGAGAGTTCCACAAAAGATTATTTGTCCCTTAACGGTGTTAGTAAAAGGCAAGTTTCAGGATCAATATCTGACGATAGGAATAAACTCTGGAGTAAAAGGATGTTATGTTGTGAGCTTGAGGTAGTTATCAACACCTAGTATTTGGTCTCAAGGCCTACAAGAACGTGCAGGACAACTAAGGCCTAGACGTCAAACAATAATTTAAAGTCCTCGAGGAGACCTTTCTCCCCTAAAGCTGCACACAAAGATGAAAAATTTAAAGATGTTTTATGAAAAGAGAGACCACACTAAATATAAGTTCAGTAATGGAAAGGTACTACTGAGATGGTGCCAAAGCCCAGGTATGGATCTTTTACTGTAGCATCTCCATTTCTGCCATGAAAGACAACTGTATTTTGTTTTATGAAGAGTATGATAGGGAAAAATCTGTTTTTAGGGATCATTTCTATCTATCCTCCTTTCCCAATTTTTAGCACTGAGTTTCCCCAAGCCAGTAATTTTGAGAACCTGGGGGTCAGATTAAAGATAGTTGTACAGTCTTTGTGCCTCTTCCCATTTAGAAGCTAGATTTCCCTTTAATCTAGACAGGGCCTGTGTTGAGCTCCATCTGGTAGAACCTGGTAGAAACAGCATCGAGTCATTTCCAGGCTTTCATCTTCAAGAGGACCAGAAGCTTGTTTCTCTCAAGAAAAATGAGGCTCGGTGTTTGGGAGAAGCAGAAGAACCAGCATGTTGAAGAATTGGGATCATGGGGGTGATCTGGTCAAGGCCTTCTCCCTCAAGCTCTCTCTTGGTTTCAGCTTTCCCTTCCCTCTCTTCCAAGCTTGGCCGTCACAAGGTAAGGGGCTTTCCTCCGCCACCGCAATGCAGTCAGCTAACTGAACCGAAACTGCTGAAACCCTGAACAAAATAAATATTTCCTCTTTCGGATCATTTTTCTCAAGTATCTGGTTACAGCGAGGAAAGCTAACACAGGGGTCAAAGTTGAAGATCAGAAGATGCCAAAGAGAACTCGGCTAAGTGTACAAGTAAATCAAGTTTAGGAATGAATATGTGCTACATTGTGGGCCTGGAAATTCTTTAGCTTAAAAATTAATTCTTACTCCCAGGAAAAGGAGTAATTCCTTCGAAGAACACTATCATATGCCACTGTTAGCTCCTATATTATAATTAACAAAGCATAAACCATCTTTCTAAATAAAATAAACAGATAATAAGAGTCGATATACTTCTTCACCCCACACTTGTGCGAACTGCACTTTGAGGATCACCGATGTAAATACTTACGGCTGGGCTTCCTTTCAAAAAGGAAACAACTAGTCACAGGTTACTACAATTACAAGTGCTCTCAAAGGCGATCTAGGAAAAAGTTTTTAAGAACAAATAATCTTCCTCGCTTCCAAAAACAAACTAGAAAAACAACCAATGGTATAATAGAAACGTTTAGGATGTATACAGAATACTTCATCATTTATTACAAGTAATTTTTTCGTGCTTTGTTTTGTTGTTATTTGGGTTGGAATTTGGGGTTTTGTTTCGTTTTGTGTTTTGTTTTTGTACCGAGAATTGAACTCAGGACCTCACGCTCACCAGACAAGCACTATGCCACTCAGCTATATCCCTCGCCCCTACAAGTAATGTAATTTAAAAAGAAGAAGTGGTCAAAAATTTAGTAAGAGGGTCTATGGCAAAACTAAAAGATTATCAGAAAGAGAAATGAGTGTTTCTTTTCTTCTTTCCAGGAAGGAAATGTCTGAGCAAAGGGCGGGTCCTCACAAAGGGGCACCTGTGGCTTCAGGTTCCTCCAGGCTCCGAGCGCGAAGTGCGGCTAGGAGGGGAAGAACCAGTGGCCCGCAAGGAAGCGGGGACAGAGGGAGGACCCGACACAAAGCACTACCCGCAGGGCCACCGCACCCCGCGAGGGCGCAGGTGATGGCGAAGCGGCTAGGACTCACCCCTCCTCCGTATCCCGGGTAGGCCATGATTAGCGGATCGCGTCACCCGTGCTCACCTTCCTGATCGGCGTCTGCCAGGTGGAAGAAGCGCGTAGGTGTAGGCGCACGTGAGGTGAACCGCAGCTGCAGGTGCAAACGCAGGTGCAGGCGCAGGTGCGGGTGCGTTTAGAGGCCAAGGTCCCCGGGCCTTTCACTACTACCCTCCAAGAACCTATCCAGTCCGCTGAGGCCAGCCCCGCCCCTGCCCGCTTCCGATTGGCTGACTCTCGCCCTCCAGAGCCCATCATGCAAGAGCCCGCCCCTTCCAGGAGTCTAGCTGAACCCTTCGCTACTCATTGGCTACGTTCTGTCGCCTGCAGCCCTCCTCATCACTGCCTGTCTCTTCCTGGCTAACCAAATTCTCAATCAAAGAATCCTTTCCCTCTGTAATTCCCGCCCTCTCTAAAAAGGTTCTTAAGATATTCAGGTTTTAAAGATTTTTTTTTTATTGTTGTTAATCTGAAACCTCAAATCCACCAATCAGTGACCTCTTGTACTGTTTTGATCTGAACATCAAATACTACACAACTGTGAATATCAGAAGTTGTTTATATTTACTTTTTGTAGTGTTGATGCCACAAGAGAACCTGGAAATCATGACCACAGCTAACTTTTTTAGGGAAGAACCTGCGTTAAAACCCACTATATTTGATTGAAGAAAAGATTATTTGTAATCTGGCTCATAAATGGTGAATAATTGTCAAATATAGCAAAAAAAAAATTATAGAAATTCTAATTAAAATTGATTTTTCAGGTGCGATGCCTGCCAGGAAAACGTGAGGTCCTCAGTTCATTCCTGATACATTTTTTTTTCTTTTTTGAAATAAATGAATTTTAATGTGCATACCACTTTATTAGATTATATTCAAAAAAGATATTTATGTGTATATGCTAATAATGCGGGACATTCTGGAAATTATGTGGTAACCTGTGACTCAACTTCTGGGCAAACTCTTTTAAGACATGCTTCCGTAATTATGTATACTGTAAGACCAGGTTTGGGTTTTTTTTTAATTTGTTTGCTTTTGTATTTTTAAAAAATCTTTTAAGAATCTCATGCTTGGCCTACGGCGCTAGCCAGGCTAGCTTTTATCTTTTAAATGTTCAGCTATTTTGGTTTATTAAATATTAGCAGTTGAGAGGTTTGCTTTTCTGGGGACCCCAAATGAATTCTGTAGTTCTAAGTTATAAAACAAAGCAAAACAAAGAAACAAGCAAAAACAGGGTAGCTACAGATTTAGCTTAAAAAATAAAAAGACTAGGATGATGCTCTGAGTTTAAAAAAAGAGTGTAATCTGTTTCATAAACTAGCATTATCCAAATAAAAAGCATTAACTATTAAGAGACGTCAACTTTGCAGAGCTGAGCAGATTAACTGTTGCTCAGCTACCTGACACTGAAAGAATACAAGACCTTGTGAAACAAGTTTTCAGAAAAAGGCAGAGGAAAAGGAAATTGCTAGCCTAAAAGCTACTCTTTGGAAAGTGTCAGTTCCTCTAATGCTATAAGAAACTGTACAATCAGGTTAAATTGCTGGGATAAATAAAGAAGTATAGTAAAGTACTTGATGACAGTAAAGAATGTATGACTCCTCAAAATATCAAGTGATAAAGTGTTAGAAAGCAGAATCATCATTGCCAACTTAATATAACTGATTACATATTCCAGGAAATGCTTGGGAAGGATTGAGTATGTTACTTTTATAATGTTAGTCTAAATCTAGTGCCAGCTTTTTAATGAATCTTTTCATCAAAATAGACTTTCTGATGGATCACATTTATGTTTGTTGAAAGTCAAATCTCCACAGGTCTCTTGCATTTCTGAAGGTCTGATTTCAAAGATTACATTTTTCTCTAGGGCAAAATTTTGCTTTTTGCTTGCAATCCTTTCAAAATTACATGGACTTCCTTGTCTGATAACAAACCCACTGAAAGGTGCATTACCCTTATGGTAGGACTTTGCCTGGTAGGACTTTGCTCATATTATATGTTGGGCTTTAAGTAATAATCTTTGGTCTCTGACCCAGAAATTCCATCCTTTCAGCCTGATTTTATGAAACTGACAGAAATATTAGCAGGCAAGTCAGGTAAACTATCAGATTCTCCATAGTTCCTAACAATGTATCTGTTTGTTAAAGAAAGGCCATTAAGGAAATTTTCTACTATGGAGATGAATATGGAGAAGATTTTGAAGACCACAGTCTACAGCAGTCTGCTGTAATCTCTCCACTAAACATATATATATGTATTTTTTTTTTTAGTTTATATTTGTCTTTGAAACAGGATCTTGCTATGTAGTTCAGGCTGACCTTGAACTCGTTTATGTAGCTCAGGCTGGCCTTGCCTTGAACTCACAGCAATCCTCTTGCCTCAGCCTCCTGAGTACTAACATTACAGGTGTGTGCCACTACACCTGGCTCAAATTATATTTTTAATATAAAAACTCATATGAATCCAGATAGTCTTTTAAAAAATAGTGATAATTGGTTTCCATGATTCAGTTAGTGTCGTACGAATAATAGCATGTTATGAAAATGGAATGTAGAAACAAATCACTTTTTTCATAAAATGCTTCATTATTCTATAAAATAGCTATTTGTAGAATGAGTGCTATGCAGCAAATACTTTGTATTGTTGGAAAATAGTTTCATCAAAATAGCTATCAAGCATGTATTATTATTCCCAAGTCAAATTACCTGCTACAAGCCTCTTTCAAATATTATCATTTTAGGATTAAGATTTAAGCATTTGAGTTTGTGGAGGGACACAATTCAGTCGAGGGTAAACAAAGTCTAACATAATGAGGAGAAAGTTGGTCATACTGTCTACAGTTGTTACCTTGAATCTACCCTAGTATTTATTTATTGATAGTATGCTAAAATGTATTCCCATGGGTTTATTTGATACACAATGCAGTAATTATCATATTTTCTCTAGAAATGACAGTGTTTTTAAAATATAATAAGAAAGGCTTATATATATATATATATATATATATATATATATACATACATATGCTATTTTGCATTACGCATAAACTTAGCTGTAAAATATTAATTCAGTAACAATTATGAGCCCCAGTGATTTCTTTCAGCAACTACTTAAAGTTTACTGTTTACCAGTGAGGACAAAGAAAAAAATAACCTTCTCAAAGACGACAAAAACAAATACTATTTACGATTTGTCACCTCAACAAAGCCACTTGACAAACTGACCTTTCTTCAGTTGAGCTTTCAACCATCATTTTCTGATTCTAATTCTAGTAATATTAAGTGCCCTTTTAGCAGAAGCACAAACTTTAAAGTAATTTATTTAATATATGAGAATTAAGTGATAACCTATTAAGTAGCTTGAGTTGCCCAATATTAAAATTTAATGTCAAATAAAAGAAAAATGTTGGTATTCTTCCTTGTGGAGTTCCTGAAAGTAATAGCTGTGATATACACTAACATAGACAAAGACTCATAAACAATGATGGTGCCAGGGGAACCCTGAATGGGTACAACATACACAACCCAATATCCACAAAACTCAGTTTACCTTAGAGATTTGCCTTGCTTTCTAGCCTTTTTTAAAAACTTTTTTTTTATTTAAAGGGGAAAAAAATAGTATAAGGGTACAAGCAATACAGAATTACAAAAAAAAAACCGGCAAGAAATCATTAGTTAATATATTACATATTGTCATCTTAAAAATAGTTGTTCAAGTTACAGGATTAAAGCATTCAAAGTGGACATTCAAACAGTGAGAGTGCAAACAGTTGGGTTCAATGATCCAACAAAAACTAAGTATTACGGTCATTGTATCCTTTACAGTATTTTTTTCCCTCTCTTTTTTATAGCAAAATGTACACATTTTGGGTTTTATTACTCCCTTAGTTCTTATTACTTTTTTTGGAAGAGAATAAAACCAAATATGACAAAACAAAGCAGTCAGTCACAAAAAAGGATAGACATAGCACATGATGGAAAAACAGAATACAAAGTTATCAACAATGGTTACCATAATGCCTCTTGCTTCCTTAAAAAGAATTGCCTATATCATTAGGTATAATACAATTGAACAAAACAGTACACAACAAGACCAATAAAACCTAAACATTACAGGACTTCAAAAGAAGATAATAGTCAAACCAGAATGGGCATCATAGTGAATCTTATTGCCTTCAAAGTAGTTGCCTAGACCGTCAAACTTGATACTATCAAACAGAACAGAACAGAGTAAAATCAGTCAAAACAAGATAGTGGGAGTAATGCGGGGCTTAAAATCAAGTTAGTAGGAAATCAAAAAAGTTACTACAATATACCCTGTTTTTAAAAATAATAACATAAATAACTATTTTTTATGAATAAGGGGGAGATTGAGATAAAAGAGGACATAACAACATAACAATACAGGTCAAAGACAATTTCAGCAACTTAGTGCTTCACCACAAGATAACCCGACTTAATAGTAGTTACCATAGTGTCTCTTTCCTTGAAATATTTGAATATAACTTCGTATACTATAGCATCAAACATATCAAGACTATACGAAACTATTCAAGTGGATGAAAGTATTACAGGGTATTTAGAATCAGCTAACGGAAAATGAAAATGGTTTCTATATTATCACTTTACCTATAAAATTTTTATACTATCACATATAATAAAATCCAGTAAGATACAACATGATAAAACCAATGGAGACAGAAGAGCAACATTTTGGTGGGACTTCAAAACAAGATGGTATTAATCAGCACTAGCTATTATGATGTCTTGTTTTCTTCAAAACAGCTGTTCATTTCATCACAGGCAATAATATCAAACAGCCCAGAGCCATTCCAATTAATGAGTGAAAACTTTATTAGGCTTCAAAGCCACATAATGGGGAATCATGATTACCACATATTTTTATATATTTGAATCATTTATTACAATAGGGAAACTATTCATTATTCATACATGTGAGTTTGATTTATTTCACTTATGAGTATGGTCTCAAGCTGCATCCGTTTATTTATAAATATCTCAATGTGATCCTTCATCATAGCTGAGTAGTACTCCATTGTATAAAAATACCACAAATTTTTATCCATTCCTCAGTTGATGGACACTTGGGTTGTTTCCAAGATTTGATGATTACAAATTGTGCTGCTATAACATAGGTGTACATATATCACTGTGGTATGATGCTTTCAGTTCTTCTGAGAATATGCCTAGAAGTGGAATAGCTGGAACAAATGGGACTGCCAATCCCAGTTTTTTGAGAAATCTCCAGAC